GCTGAATAAATCATAAAATCAATGTTTTTTAACAATTTTTTCCTCATAAATTAATATAACTTGGATAACCATAGAAATTTAAAATGTACTGCATAGATGATTGTTGAAATATTGACACTATTAAACAACTTACACAACTTTACATCAGATGAAACCTAATAAAATTGAAGTCTTATGGTCAACAAGATAGAATTTATTCAGCCAGTCGAAATACAATTATTCACATTTTCTAACTACCTTCAGATGAAAAACATAGTGTAATCATCATTCAATGTGATCTGTAGTCATTCGCTTCATTTCAGATTGAGTTATATTACAAGGTGACACCTTTTTGCGATTAAATATAACTTCGAGATAATCCCTATTTTCATTGTTAATATCAGTTTGTGATAGAAAAAACTGTTCTCATAGAGTAAATAATAAATTCTGAGAGGCATTCATCTGATTTATAGTTTCACCTATATTGTTAACTTCAAGTATGAGCAAGACAGTGAATTATCATTTGTTTTAAATTTCTAGAAAACCAGACATTCGATCAATGATAAACTAATTCAACTCAGCTTTGATAGATTGTAATTTTATTAAAACACACGTAGCCAAATGAAAAGTCTTATTGGACATTTGTTTTCTACAGATTAATTTGTTTGTTAATTACTTTTAGCCATGAGTATTTTTACTAACTAATTATACGTATCTTAAAATTATTTATAAGAATCGACTAATTAAGTCTGAGTCAAGCTACTTTTCGCTCCTTCTATGTTGTTTTAATGAAGAAGGTGTTTGTATAAGTTGGATGTGATAATTTTTCAAATTGTGTGATTGTAACAAGTCAGACTACCTCATTCGAAATCATATATACATATTTTGAAAAGAACAAGAACAAAGTGTTAAACATTAATGAAAATTAACTGAGGAATAAAAATACTCACTAATTAATGATCTAATTTTAAATCAGTGCTACATTGATTAAATACAACAGTTAGTTCCTTTTATATCAGACTTACAGAGATCTGTGTTTTTATACATTCAAATCATCAATCAATCATTTTTAGACTACCATTAAAAAACCTAGAAGCACTGGAAGTCTGTTCCATGCCAGGAAGAAACGGCCCTCCAATGCTTCCAGCTTTCTAATGTTGGTCTAACAATGGTTGTATTGATAATTTCGATAGTTAGTTTGTTGAGACAATTTTTTACAGTTGAATTTGAAGAAAATTCTTCTAAGTAATGTACACTACACAAAGCACAATGACTTATAGCTAAATGCATTTTTACACATTAAAACTAGTCATAACAAGTTATTTGCCAGTCTCTTATTTTAAGTTAAATTCATCAAATTAATCGAATGTTATGTAAAGTTATCAATGATTCTAATCAGTTAATATTAAAAGGGAGGATGAAATGATCTATTCTTTATATTAGAATGTATATTTCAAATATACAATTCAATAGATTAATGTTAATGATTTTAGCTATTCATTTAAGCAACATTTACTTACAGATGAATCAGAAGTATTCAATGTTTTCTTTTTTACATGAATATTTACTTCGGCCTACAAACAGGTGTACTGAATTAGCCCACAACTAACTGGTTATGTTTACATTCCATTTGTATTTCGCTAAACAAACATTATCTGTTCTAAGTCAAGTGTTATATGAAAAATATTTACCGCCCCGGAAAAAAAAATTAATTAATTGTATCTTTAAAGTTTTCGTTTGTTCTATTGATAGTTGGTCGTTGTTCAGTTTCATTCAATGAATTACACTGATGAATATGTGTATGAACTAAATAAGTCAAGATCAATGACTGTACATGAAACTGACCTCAAAACATTTATTGTTATTTTTTTCTCATCTAAAAAATGCACTTCTATTTCGAATTTATTAAGAATTATTCTATTAAATGATGGTAATATATAGTGAATGAAACCACTGATTAAATTAAATATTATTCAGCACAATAGTTATTAAAGCACTAACCATAGTTGGCAATAATTTATATTGTTAGGCCGATACATCTCAACGTACATAAGGAAAAAAGCAAGATCCTCCTCTGATACAGCACAATGTGCACTAATCAAATCACACTTGATGGAAAAGATTTGGGTAACACCACTGACAAACAAGATAGATCTGGTATGGATGTGAAAACATGGAATGGAAAAGCAAGGACAGTATTTCGACGACTGAAGAGTATTTGAGGCTCTAAACGACTGTCGATCAACACCGGAGTCACGATTTTCGATACAAATGCTATGACAGTTCTGCTATATGGAAGAGAAATTTTGAAAAACTACAAAAGCCATCATCTAGAAGATATAGGTCTTTATAAACAGTTGTCTACACAAGATACTGAGGATTCATTGGTCATACACTATCAGCAACAACCTACTGTGTGAGAAAACAAACCAGCAGCTGAGTTAAAAATGAGGAAAATGCGCTGAAAGTGGATAAGAAACACATTGGGGTAATCATCCAGCTGGGTCATAAGACAAGCCCTCACTTGGAAACCTTAAGGTCCAAGGGGAAGAGGAAGGCCAAAGAATACATTAAGCCAAGAATCATAAGCAGACACAAAAAGGTTGAGCAGCAACTGGGTTGAGTTGGAAATGAAGGTCAAGGATGGAATAGGTTGGAGAATGCTGGTCGGCTGCCTATGGTCCAGTAGGGGTAACAAACGAAAGTAAGTGGAGCTGATACATCAAAAATTATTCAGCCTAATTGTCTACACCATGTATCAATATCAACATTCTAAATTAACATTAATCAAAAGATTGTATGGATATTCGACATCTCTCAAACAGTTGGTGACACTGGTTTGTCATAATAAAGAATAAAAGAAAATCAAATCTGCAGTAACACTTTTCGACCAGTCATTGGCAATGACTCTCAGCTTATTGAAAAGCCAAAAAGATAACTCTTATGTAAGGTAATCACCATGTAACCAATGAAGCGTTTCAAAATCATACAACAAAAATATTTCTACAGAGACGTCACTGTAGAAGATCACTAAAGGATGCTGTCTGAGTTTTAGTTGTAAGGATTTTGAATTAATTCTTGATTCCCATTATTTCTTAACAAATTTCCATTCCTTATGAAAACTTGTGTTCAAAAGTATTTTTAAATTATGTAGATAACTATTTATCAACAGATTATAAGCAAAGTTATGGGGGATTTAGAAAATTTGGAACAGATTCTAGAATTACTGGGATGATAATTTACGGGTAGGTAGATGAAATTGGTTACTTTTTGAGCAATTGACTAAAATGTATATCATTTATGAATCTTTTTCTAGCTGTTGTACAATTCCAAGACCTACTACAAACTGGTATGTCATTAAACTTCAATCTATCATTATTATACAGACAAATGAGGAATTATATAGGTGGTCCAGTCTATTGTTGAATGTTGGTTAATTCGATTCATTAGACAATCAATCGGTCTTGGTACTACAGTATTTTTGGTGGTATTTACAGCTTAATAAGTAATAATTTATGAATTTAACTTTTGGATTTTAAAATTTATGTTAATTCAGTAATATCTGAAAAAAATACATTCAGTATTCAGCAATAATTTTGATAACTTTTTTCATGGTAGTATGGAGATGGTAGTTTTAGATTGAAATCATGAATGAATCATTGTTAGACGATTATTAGAAACCTGGAAGCACTAGACAGCCGTTTCGTTATGGTATGGGACTCATCAGCAGTGAGCATCCATAACGCCTGCTACTCACAGGATAATTTTACTATAAAAGGCAGGATACTGAACTTTAATATATGGCTTAAACATTAACTACTGGCTAATTCCGTTTTAGTATTTGCGAAACTAGTCAAACAGATTAGTTTTCTCAAACTTTTATCAGTTTATCACCTAAATTTCGCATTTACATAGTTTACGAAGTCCTCCAAGTTTTCTTAGTTTATTGGATGATATTTATGGGAACGACTAAGAAATATATATCTGCTAGTTGATCTAAGCATAATGACATAAATTATCAGTGATTTTAAACAGAATTCCGGACTCTAGATTATCTTTGAGTAGTTGAATGCGAGAAAAAGTGCAAACACTTGATGGTTTTACCATACTAATCGATACGTTGTGAGTAATACAGCTATCATAATGAGAACATACTATAAAAATGTGTCATTATCAATTCAGATCATTTGGTTTATTGAAACATTACTAGTACTAACCATTCTATAACATATCTTTAATCCATATATCACGAAAATAAAAACGCAGTTTACTTAAAATGGACTTCTTGTGTATGTATTGAACATTTCTAGTCTTATTCTCCTCAATAACTATTAGCATTGATATTTAGGATATCTAAGTGAAAAAATTTAGATTTGCACATAGTTATAAGTTAGTATTTTCATGTCTAAACATCATCATGATATCAGAAACTTTAATTTTTGTTAGTTAAAATGACGGGACCTCAGTGTTTATTTTCTTTTTTGAAAAGAATCAACACTAAAAACTTAAGACAACTAGTGAAAACTCATAAATACTAAGAAGACATTTCATCCTGACATGGGAAAGACTATCTGCATTGATTATTTAATAAAACATTGAAACTTGAGAATTTACCGAAAGTTCTACCGTCTACACACTTAAGTGTAGTTTTATAAACAATAAGTTCAGTTTGAATTTCGGTAATAATAATCTTTCTATTTTCATCATCGACACAATCAATTATTCTCGATAGGTTTAATGATTTCTTTCTCAACAAACTCTGGATTTCAAGTAATACTTTTATTTACACAATAACTTTTATGGTTGTAACAGTTCACTAGCAACAAGTAATGTATGAGCACTTTTCATACTTGCGTCCACTAAGGACTACAGTGTCAACATAATCAGTGAAATTCATTCAGTATTGGAAACCAGAGAACATTTTGTTTCGCGAATTTTGTAACCGTTTAAAAGCCTCAAATAATAAATCTCATTCATAGGATACAAGTTACAACTAAAAAAAAACACTCTATTAGACTTACTTGCATTGCATTTGAAATAAATTTATGATTTATTGTATCGGCATTTTCTTGTGACTTTGTCAATTTCAATTTTATGTATGAAAAACACAATAGACATGTGTGAATTCCACCAAATGTATTCATCAAACTAATACCAAATGTTGACATCCATGTAAAACTACACAGAAAGAAATAATGTATCAGAAAAGCTATCATAACACAAATTTTACGATTTGATATATCAATCTGTTCAATTATCAATGGTAATGTTAAATATATCAATAATAAACTGAGAATAGATGAAGCTAAACCCATTACTAATTGATTTGATAGTCTTTGATGTAGAGATTTTGTTTTACCATGGATTATCAATAGTGTACAAAGGCATATTGCAGAAAAAATACTGACAATGATTTGTAGAATATCGAAAATAGACTCAATTGTTTTTAATACTTGAGATTTCTCTTCTTTATCCGTATCGATTTCAAAACCTAAATACTTCTTTGGTATAGCCAAAAACTCATGCCATCTTAAACGTTTATTGAATACTGACGCCGGTGTTACATTAATACGAAGAGGTGATGCGCAATAACGTGAATAGCTCGGTGGTAATGCAGTATCAAGAACACATATTCGATATTTGTTAGCTGCTAAACGACAACGTATTTTAACTGTGTAAAATTTTAAATATTTTTTCATATAATCATTGAAATTCTCTCCTGGCGCAGATTTCAATTCACCATGACATTGAGCACAATCAATATTTGCATAGACTCGATTAGTTTTAAGTGAGACAACTGGAGCGATAGCACGTATATCGGATTTTTTAAAATGAAATAGTATTTTATCTGATATGACACCTGAAATATGCTCTTTGGTTAATATACTCCAATCATTTGTACCTACAGGGGATAAATCACTAAACATCATCTTAATATTTTTTATACGATTACATCGTAAAGCTATATTCTTGGAAGTATTCAATGGACAATTAGAAATTGCATAAATTTGTTCATATGCAGCTTCATCATCTTCTTCTTCTCCGAAATGTGGTTCATCAGTTACATAGTGAAATTTTTTAATACATGTAGTTGTCAGAATGTTATAGTCATGTGAAGTGTAATTGATTAATGGCGAATCTGAACAACAATCAGATCTCTTTAAACACAGCTCATCACAATAACACCTTGCTGTTAACGAATCACATGTATCATTTTTTAATAATTTTTTAGTTTGAATAGGAGGATCCTTCGATCGATTAATATTCAATGAAGCATTCGGATAATTGATTATAAAGTAAGTTAGTATTGGGAACATGTACTTCCACATGATTTCCACTTTAAACGTTTAATTGTACAAATTCGTGCGAATAAAGTGGGGAAATTTTCCAGTCTGGTTTTCATCACATCCATATGACCTTGAACATGGTAAGCCAATCATTTGATAGAGATTTTGACAACTGATCGAAAAACATAGAAAATATATGATGAAAATATTTAATTTGTTTTGATTAGTTACGTCGTCTAAACAATAGAAGAGACTTTCCTAACACATGAAAATTTCCTTGTTTTGGTTGTTTTCGTCATATACAAGTACCAACTAGACTAATTAATAGACAGAAAACAACTAAGTCACACTAGTTTAGAGTGCTACATCACCACAGATCCAAGGTCATAGTAGCAGAAACTGGATAGTTTATGCTCGATTATTGGAAAACCATGTCTGGTTACTTGTTCCCACATCGACTGACCTATTAATAGTTTTCATTCCAAATATTGATTATACTTTCAGCAAATTTTATTCATTGAGTAAGATGCTAATATAAAATGACCGATTATTCTCACACTAAATATTATCAATGCAAAATATGTTACTTATTCAAGTGATTGTAAAAATATTTCCCAATTTGTAGTGTATCGTTTAGTTTTGAGTAAAGATACGGTCGTTTAAGTCACGGATTCGAGACGTTCATCAACATCGATATACATTCAGATTGAGAAATAACCTTCATACGAAACTCATGGTAATTTGGCATATAAGTTTCAGTTTCGAATATATTTCATGGTATACTTTTGAACTGTTTCACCCTAATATAGGCTTTCTCATTCATAGCTCCGCTAGAGATTAGAACCAGGAATTTCAGGGATTTCAAATGATGTATTTTTTTTACAGATTACCTTTTAAGCTAACAAAAACTTACATGAAACCAAAACTTTTCCTGAATAAATTAAGTATTTAATTGAACTGAACCACTCGCGTTAACTCTTTATTTTGAAAAACCGCATTATACAATGTCCGCAAGTATTACAATCCTAAACATAGTTGTCAATTTATACTGAATATACGTTGGTTTACCCTAAACTGTACTCTTAAGAATAAATTGTTTAACTTGCTTTTCATCGAAGACATGTGATATTCGAAAATGACCATGACATGGTGGTTACGCTAAAACTATTAGTCATGATATTTTTCGTACTCCTTATTCAAAAACAACTCTAGGCTTACAGGGTTACAATGTACATCACCTCATTAATTCTATACTCTGAAATGATGTCACTTTTGATATGAAATTTTGCTTACAGTTTACACAATACGTTTCCATGAAAATAATTTATAAAATTATGCATTTTTGAATAATGTACCATATTAGTGAGTTCCAAATATCACTTTTTCCATTTTTTTTTATCACTCTCTAGTCATGACTATGAAAAAAATGGTTTGTGTTGTCTCGAATGATCACTTTCAGAACAAATAAGTATTATCAAAAGAACAAGTTCATTAATTCAGTTATACTTATCTGCATTGTTCATAAAAATCATTGCAATTTATATCCACGTACATGAATCAAAAACTGTAGATAAATGATTCACATTTACGTAGGCATATCTGATTTGTAGTTGAATGAAATTTTCATTAATCATCTAACAGTTAAATTTAATAATTGACTATTTTATTTTTTTTTTAAAAAAAGGAGCTTACAATAATTAGGCTTTTAAATTTAGTTAAATAATTAAGAAAGTTATAAAAATGAGAAGGTGAAACTGTTGACACATGTTGACGAAGGCGTAAAAAGACTGTTTTTTTTTATCCCCACGTATAAAAAACGTTAAGACAAATAAAGTATGTAGAGTAAATCTTTTTGTATAGTTAGAAAATTGTTTTCACCACTAACGAATCTCGCCTACAGAACTAGTGAAAAATAGAGAGTATTGAACAACTGGAATCACCCTACATCATAAATTTTCTGAAATCAAAGGTATTATGATAATTTCATGAATAAAAAAGGTCATGAATTATATTTCTCATAAGTTTATAGAAAGAATCACTGAAGTATATGAATTGGTTCCTCCTTCTATGATTAGATAGTAATGAGGTTTTCACTTGAAAAATATATGAAGTAATAAAAATACGGACTCAACATTTAATTATCATTGATATTTGTAAGTAATACAGAGAATTTTAAAATTAAATGATAATTTCACAGTTTACATCAAAAAATTGTGTTGGTTAAACAACCATTGGAAACCAGGAAATACCAGATAGGAGTTTCTTCCTAATGCGGAACTCCTTAGTAAAGGGCATCTACGGCATCCTCGCGGATCGAGCTCAGGACCTTCAGGTCTTACGATGAGAATTTATTAGTTTTCAATAAATTTTATAAACTGTTGATTGTTTACGTTGAGTCATTATTCAATCAGTGTTAGATCACCATTAGAACATGGAAGCACAGGACGGCCGTCTCCAACCATCTCCACAACCCTATCTATAATGAAAATCGTCATGTGCTCACTAGTGACTGGCTTTGCGGAGAAATTTCTCTGAGATGTCATGACTAGTGGGGTTCAACCCTGTCGGGTGCGAAGTATTGCCAAGCGAAGATAATGAACGAGGTCGTACAAGATGGCTGATCGATTGAAGTTAGACATTCATTTCGTTGGAAACTGCCTCAGTAGTTTAGAGGTTAGGTGTTTTAATTCACAATCATGCTATTTTGGTGAATATTCTGTTCACATAAATGACAGCTTTAATATTGTATTTATACATACAGATATTCAGTAGATCGTCAGACAGTTGTATCTCTTTAAATTTACCTTATTTGTATTTAGACACAATCCTAATGATAATAACAACTAGTTCGGTGAATTAGTTTTGTTCAATATTTTCTCAACTAGGCCAAGTAATATCTCAGATTACAGAAAGAAATATCTATTTATCTTTCTTTCGACTAAGATGAGAACCAGCTTTAAATAATTTTTTGCTTATTGTTATGTCACAAAATATCCTGTTTGTTTTCAATGTATACTAAATATATATATTGTGTTATATTACTAACCGAACATCATGATAGTATGGTATTACTCAATGCATGAATTCGGTTCTTTACGCAATCAAGTAAACTTTATATCAAATCTCAATTCATATTCATATATTTGAAAGCCAATGAAAATTTTTCCAGTATATGATAATATCAGATGACTGTTTTATTTTTATCTTTCAAAAAAACTAAATATATTTAAGAAATAAGAAAGGAAATATATATATGAGTTATGAAATGAGTTCAAATCGAAATGATTTAGACTATCTCATCGTTAATAGTTTGACCGAAATTCATTTAATCTTGTTTCAGATTCACAGACATCATCCAACTGACAAGTTCCAAACTGGATGAATCATGGGTTCTGGATTCCATTGTTAACTATTCTGCATAGAATTAGTGTTTTTATTTTTCAAATAGCTGTTAATATTTTGTACATTTCCAAATTCAGGTAACTGACAATATTGTGAAACTATGTTATTCATTAATATCTGCGAAATATGATGCACTCTCTGTATTGTTAATTTCAACGGTCACAGCTTCTCATTGAAAATCCAACAGCTATTCTAAAACCAGGTCACTTTGGCTAGTGAGCTTGTTATTATTGTTGAGTTTATGAAAATTAATAAAACTCAGGTTAGTTCTCATAACATATGGATATCATCGAGTTATTGATTGCTAAGAACGAACACAAAGCCTATTTGATGTAGTATTTCTCCACTATTATTTATAAATGATGATAATTGTAAATATCGACTTAAAAATAATGTTTATAATTCATTTGAATCTACAAAAATATAAATCTATAGTAAAAAAATGCTAGAAATGATAGAGTAATAGTTTATCCACAAGTATTATATCAAGAAAAGAAATCTATCTTCACTTTAAGAATAATCGATCCTTAACTATTATGCTTCAAAAGATCAAAGCATTGAAAAATCTACTCATAAATATATTAAAGGGCTAGCCAATATCTAGGTCACAATAAAATCCATCACTAGGAATGGATAACTGTTGATACACTGGATAAGATTCAAGAAAGAAGGAACAAGATGCCATTAATCAATATCAGTCAAACAAGAGCATGGAAAGCAAAGGCACAAACTGAATACACAGAAACTAACCAATAAGTGAAGAGGAGCATCAGATCTGACAAAAGTAAATATACGTAAGAACTAACACTGATGACCAAAAAGGTTGAAAGAGAAGGAAACATGAGACACTTGTATGATACAACAAAGAAGCTCTCTAGAAACAGTGGTAAACCAGGAAGATCAGTGAAAAGCAAGGAAGGAGGAGTAATCAGTAACACTGAAGAACAGCGAAACAGGTGGGTAGAGCACTTTCAGGAACTCTCGAATGGACCAGCTCCACTGAACCCACCCAGCATCGAGGCAGCATCCACGGACCTCACAATCGATGTTGGCTCACCTACAATTGAAGAGATCAGCATGGCCATCAGATAAATCAAGAGCGGCTCAGCAGTGGGACCAGAAAACATCAAGATACCAAAGAAAGCCCTTAGCAAGTGTGAGGACTACAGAGAAATCACTATTCTCTCAATACCAAGAAGAACCTTCAATAGAGTGTTGTTGAACAAAATGAAAGATTCAATAGATACCTATTTTCGAGATCAACAGGGTGGATTCCGTAAGGATTGATGGTGTACCAACTGAATCGCGAATAGACGGATCATTGTGGAATAATCAATTATATAGAATTCACTACTCTACATCAACTTCGTTGACTACGAGAAAGCATTCAACAGCATGGACAGGGTGACACTATAGAGGCTTCTTAGACATTACGGTGTGCCTGAGAAGATAGTAAACATTATACCGAATTCTTATGATGGACTCTACACCGCAAGATCGTGCATACAGGACAGCTCACAGACTCGTTCCAAGTAAAGACCGATGTCAGGCAAGATTGCTTACTCTCATCCTTCCTCTTTCTCCTAATGATTAGCTGACTTATGAAGACGTCAACACCTGGAGGGAATACCAGTATACAGTAGACAGCTGGGATACAGCTGGACGATCTAGACTTCGCAGATGATCTGGCTCTTCTATCTCACACATAACAACATTTGTAAGAGAAGACGATCAGTGTAGCAACAGCCTCAGTAGCAACAAGTCTCAATATATACATGGCGAAACGCAACAAATGCGCCAACCAAATCACACTTGACGGAGAAGCTTTGAAAGATGCGAAAACCTTAAAATATCTGGGCAGCCTCATTGACGAGTAGGGTGGATCTGATGCAAATGTAAAGGTGCGGATTAGCAAAGTACGGGCTGCATTTCTAAAATTAGAAAATATTTGCAACTCAAAACAACTATAAACCAACACCAAAGTCAGAAATTTCAATACATTTGTCAAGACAGTTCTACTGTATGAGGTGGAGACTTGGACAAGTAAGAAAACCACTATCCAAAAGATTTCTACACAACAGACTGTGGATACCTTGGCAAGCCTTAACCTGAATCCTCAAGGACAAAGGAGAGGAACGAGACCAAACAACACATCCGCTAGGAGTAAGTAACATGTGTAAGTAAGTAGTCAATATTTGAATAAACCGATAACATCAAATTACTTAAAAACAAAAACTTGCAACATCAAATAAAGTTGATGCAGGAAAAAGTTCACTTAATATTTTTTTCAAATCAAAGTTAGAAATGTTATCATTCAAACTTTGTTGTGTAACTTATTTTCTTAATCGATTATATTACTACTTATAAAAGCGTGTGAGGAAGCAGTAACATATAAAACCAATATAGCATTTTAGATTTTTTTTTATCAGTCATAGTCTAGTTAAAAAGAAATAGTAACAAAGTAATTTTCTCATTAAAAATCGATTACAAGTCAAAGTTTTGAAGTCATCAATGAGATACTGTCTGATTTAAATTCAGTTACATTCGGAACTAAGTCATTAAAAATTCATTTTCCTATTTTATAGAATCCAGCAAGCAGACATATTACAAACAGCAACCTTGAACCAAAAGCTTTCCCTTCACGGAAATCAAACAATAATAGCTCACACTTCAATGAGAAAACAGCGTTATGTTAATGAATTTATTGCCACGCATCCTAGTACTTCGACCGTTTCCGCACTAGTCTATAAAATCAACTATTATTGCACTACTATGTAAAATCGGCTTTTTTTTCTCGTTAAATTCACATGAAATTTGACATTGTAAACATATTTATATTACTATGAAGATTATAAATTAATTTCGTATATTGTAATATTAAAAATGAAACGATATTTCATTTTTAAGTTATGCATTTCCGTTGAACATTATTCATCATTCCTAAGAGTAAGAGTTTCACGTGGTAGTATTGTACTTTGAATTACACCCACACAACAATTACTGTTTTCAAAGCTGATGATTATTATATCTAAGAGATTATTTTTGTCTGTTCGATGACTAAAAAGGATAAGTAATCCGAAAATAAAATAAAATGAAACAACGAGATTTATGAAGCGAAAGTAAGCTATGTAAAAGTGACCGCTGAGTATATCTGCTTGATTAAAATCAGTTTTCAAGTAATTCGACATTTGAGTATGATTATCACATAGATCTCGAGAAGTACGAACTTCTTCACAAGTCTTAATGTATAACGCAGAAGACTGATGAAATGTCCTAGTGTGATAATCATAGGCAACTTATTCTTAACCATAATTTAGTGTCTGAGTGAAGTAGATGTGCCACGAAATACCCCAATTTATGAAGATTCACGACATATCTTTGTGAAATACCCTAAGACTAATCTCATATTTATTAACTCCATCGTGCGACCTTACACAACCAACGACTCTAAAATATGTGATTTGAGCTCAAATCTCAGTCAATCTTGTAGCTGAGACTAGACCATTATCCTTAAAAATTTTAGACGTTAACATACCACTGCCCCTTCGTCTTATATTGCCTACAGCTTTTTCGACCTTGTTAAGAGTAGGAGGACTTAAATCAACTTGCCATTCAGGTTGACTGTAAACCTTCGGTTACTGAAGGCCAATTGAACTGATCAGAAAAATTCCCTGCCCATCGATCCTACCTCCTGGATTGAGAATGAATAATAGTCCCATCTTTCTAATATCGGTTTCCTTGAAAAGCCTGAACAGTTGCCAGCTGTTAACAAGTGCCGCTGCCTTTCGCCATCCAATACTGCTCACCATCAATACGTAAGCTCTCATCAGCGTTTGTTTACGCTATGCTGGATGAGTTTCCAAGTATCTATCAGTTTAGTAAATGTACTGAAATTCACTACTTCTGCCTAACCTTATTGCTATTTCCACAGCTTTCAGGATACCATTCAGAAACGCCTCGGGTTAGGCATCACTTACATGACTGCCTGTGTATCTAACTGCTTATCAAATAAATTCTTCGCCTTGCGAACGTTAAGTAGAACTGTAAGGAGTTCCCTTACTGTCTTTTTTACGTTCAGTAAGCCGCAGACAAATACGTGCTTGTATTAGAGCATGATCTGAATCTAAACATGTGCTCCAAAATGAGCGGCAGTCTTCTAGTCCAGCGTTGAGTTAACTTTGGCGATCGCCATATCAAGAGATGTTTAAAGTTAGTATCTGCGAGAAATAGGCAGTTATCTGGGCATAGTTGCACTAGGCGGTCGCCATTTTGTCCTTTTAGTGGCGACACCATAAGACCCACCCAAGTGTCCTTTCGCTTGGTCTACCTACTTGAGCAATCAAGTCACTAGCCACTATTACTACATCAGAGCGCTTAACTTTCTGAAGGTTGGAAAGCTTTCTGCACTGCAGTCAGTGGGAGCGTAGGCAAAAACAACGAAGAGGCAACGCAGAGTGTACCTAGTATCCCGAGTTCTTACTGTTCCGTTTAGTCATACAAAGCTAAGCGACCATCAACTGTGATCCAGTCTAAGAGAGCTAGTTCTACCCTAGGACTCAATGCTATACCTACCTGCCATAGGTAGTAGCAGTTATGTCTCCAGATACACGAAAGGTAAATAGAGATAGTTAATTATGCTAACAAAGTGAGGTCATATGAGTGACTGTACTCGCATTATATATGCACGCTTCGTAAAGGCAACATATACAGATGGCGTGAGATTCGGAAGCCTATAGCCTTATTTGGCACAAGGTTCGAACATTGAAATCTTCAACATGTAGTTTAGAGTGGGGTTACAGGAGAGCCATAAAAAAATGGAGTGAACTCGAATAACTGGTTATTGACGCGTGGTGATGAGCTTTGGCAGTTTTAGAAAGTAACAATTACCAGACGACAATATGTGAAAAATTCTCTAAGTTTAGTAATGTCTCAAACATCTAAATGGCACGTCTCATCTTGAATAGAACTCGTAAAAAAAAAAATTTAGGCTGCTACGCTTAATACGAACACTTAGTCTTTGTTTAATTCCTGAGAGATCAGACGAACAAATGGTTACTTTTAAAACATATCCAAGAGGATTTTAAACGAAAATAAGGCAATGAACAGATCTTTTAAATAAATGCGTTCATTACTACAAAGAAAAGGATCTTTTGGATATTGACATGACTTAGCTAAGCAACCAGATGATTAGAACAAATGGCCGAAAAGCTATTGATGAGACTTAAGCTTTTTGAATTTACTGTTTGCAAACCTGTTAATTCACGATATATATATATAACGATAAACAAGGGAATATTAGTCCAGGCGAATTGATTCGATTAATAATGTTAGATGTAATCGAACAAAAAAATCAGCCTTATCACACGATGATTACAAACGTAAAGCCAAAAGACATACAAGACTAGCGTTTTTATTTTAAAATTGCTTAAATCTGTACACAAGAAATAACAATTCAAAACAAAGAAAGAAAATAATGGTTAGTGGAGGATTCACGGTACAAATAATCCAGTTTATCGATGACAGGCAACAACAGGGATATCACTTATGGAATATGATGATATAAAATCCAGATTGTGAATCACTAGTGCATTTAATTATTTCGTCAGCTTCTTTCTATAATGAAGAAAATAACTTCCTCAGAAATATACATAAAAAGATACTACTGATTGATCAACGATAATAAGATAGTATATTATAATTACATAAGCAGGTGAAATAGAAACTACATGACAAAATGTATCGAACAAAGTATACGATTCAAAGCATCGATTGGCTTGAAAATTTCAATGTTCAGTTAATATGAATCAATAAAAAATGAAGCTTTGAATACCGATCATAACACTAGAACTACTTAAAATTTATTTAGGTATGACTTATACTAACCAGTAGAGGTAGCAAAGATGGTGGTTGGAGGTAATTGACAGGAAACCCCGGACCTAGGTTTCGTGCTGTTTAGCGCGGGCCAGAAGATGTGGTAGTAATCCTCAGATATCTGATAATCCCTGGAGGGTTCGATTTCATGTTAAAGATAATCACAGTCAGAGACGTTACTACTAAGCTATCAGGATTGTGACTAACCTTTAATAGGACTGAGATGTATTTACAAGTGATTAATCACTAAGTAGTGACCAGTGTTGTTTTATACATCAAGTCCCTCTGAATGCTGACCGAATTCTATCACTGAAGTTGCAATGTGGCCACTAGTTCAAATAACTAAACAGTGAGTGCACTATGTTAAGATGTATGATAGTGGTTAAAGGTTGTCCAATGGTCGATGTCTGAACTGATACTTCGAAGGTCACCAGTCCTACTTGCCATATAGATGAACTACTGGATAACAGAAGTCAATTGAGATGGGTACAGATGCATCCATTCTTTGTGTTCTCTCAAATTCTAATCTTCTGAATTCCGTAAGACCTTTTGTCTCGTTTTAAATTTATTTTACTGGATTTTACTTCTCAAATCTTAACTTCGATCCCTAATCTTTTCCCTTACCGCTATTACTGCAACCACCTCTACAACTATGGGATGTGAGCTGACAATTCCATCTCCCTGTGCTAATGTGGTATGGCAACTTGAACTGATGAATAAACGTACCAAGTTCTACATTGCAGCTGACTGACAATAATAGGAGATATACTGAACCAGGATTTCAAAATCATTAATTAGGCAATAAAGAAGGAATTTTAATTATAATAAGCATCATCTTAAAACTTAAGTAACATTTCATAAATTGAAAATCAATTACAAATGATAGTGATTAAATATTCTTACATTAGAGTTGGATGTGGCAAGCAGCGGAATTCGGAACATGAACTTAATCTCGGAAATGGTCAGCTGAAGATGCTTACATTCCAGTGTTGATGTTTACAATACGAAAACAGAATCTAATGAGTTCGGTTTCAAATGCCAGCTTATTGTCCACGAAGCATGAGTTTAGATTAGTCAGTCATTCAAACGCAACGTAGAACCTGGCGCATGTGGCGCATGTTGAATTTACAACTGTTAGGAGGTTTTTTAAGATAAAAACTATGTTACTCATGAGTAGCTATTATTTTACCGAATAATTTCCCCGTGCGTTTCGTTGATCAATGTAATCAACCGTACACTAATGCATTCGTAATATTTCCCTATGCTGTTCAAGTGCACATAATTCCCATATTATTCCACCCTAAATGTATTCATTTAGAAAATATGTTATGCAGAATTTATTAAAATTTTTAAGTACTTTTATGGTTATATAAAAGTTCATGTATCTCGGGTCTATGATGTATAAATAGTATTCAACGATAGAAAATACCAAATCAACAGTTTACATGTATTAAAGTTGAAATTTGTGACTGGATGTTTGAAAGTAGGATGCTAAAAATTGATGAATCTTTGTTTCATACAATTAATTATGAAATATCAGCTAGTTCATAGATAAGAGAGCTCATTAACATTCGTAGAGCAATTCGTAACCTATTTACATAGTGCGTGTACAGACTTGAGACGAACAACTGATCATCGGTCAAACACGATGATTATTTTTCTGCTGAATTTTCATAAAAACAAATCCATAAACTACACTTTTCATACAATAAACACAATATCTTAGTTATACTGTGTTTGCACAGATGATAGTTTGAAGTCACTCAATTAATGTAATTTCTTTTGCATTTAGTTCGGACTAGATTAGTCACATTACATATCGAAATTTTCATATTCACGAGAGATTAAAAGGAAAATTGGCTATAATTGAGATTGCATCATAAAAACAACTAAAATCCCTTATCCTAATATAGATAAACTTACACAGCTGCATTCTTCCCGCTTAAAATAACATAAGGCATTGACATGGCTTCGAGTTTCTTATTCAATTTGTTCACTGTTCCCAGTGGAGTATCTGAACTGGTGCTGGCTTTAAGAAGCTAAATCAATGATAAAAAGAAGAGGAATATTTCATAATATTCATAAAATTGAGAAAATTATCGGTAACAGTTTGACAGACTAGAAAAAATTAAAACAAGTTAATAGATCCTACAATAGAATTCTTGTTAAGCTATTTTTTCCTAGAAAGCAACTACTACTACTCAGCAGTATTCATCTACAAACGCTCTGAGAATCGAACTAAAGACCTAAAGGCTTCACAGCAAATGCTCAACTTTTAGAACACTGAGCTGATATTCAGTTGTATACATTCCTAACTTCAGTTAGTTCAAGGTACTGCATGACCACTATCCACTGGCAACGACGATATTTGTTTGAAATCCAATGCTTGTGGGAATCAGCTCCTAAATTTGGTCCATGGTCAGCACATGATGATTGCTGAACTTAGAATTGTTTTCGCAATCTTCCTTGTCTAAAACTACTTCGTAGTGTTGAACAGTATTCCTTAGAAGAGAAAAATTTTGAGAAGTTGCCATTTTGCTAGTCGTAATATTTAGAAAGCTCATTCCCTTGATAGTTTAGTGACCTTTAACGGTTTTTAGTACAAAACAGTAGAAAACAAACACTGTCGATTGTTTTCCATCTAAAACGAACTAGATGCTCAACACTTCTACTATCACATTTCATACTATGTAATGGGCGTCTACCGAAATCTAAAACTAAGTTGAGAACAACACTTAGATTTGTGGATCAGAATGCATAGTTGTAGAGGTTTACCTTTTGATTATTGTGATTATTTTATCGTCATTCAATAAACCATCATGTATCAGATTTTGAGGTGATCGTAGTATCATTAGTTCAGCTTATTTCTGTATCATTCGTCTATGAACCATTGGAGAACAATCAATATTTTAGACAACTGTTTTAATATCTACATTCCAAAGTCATATAAACAGTACAAAGCCAGTAAAATTGTTTGTATGGTGACCCTTTCTAGAGGGTTCTATTTTTGTAAAGATCTTTCTTAATCTGCAGGCATTGTTTGGTTTCGTTACTGTCGTTATATAATCAAGGAACATTTATGTCGCAATATGTTATTACACCTTAACTGTTTTAATATTTTGCTCGGTTTATGAAGTTGCACTCGACGAACTTGCAAAACTAAGTAAAGTAAATTTCAAACTTTCAATGAGCAACAGAGAAGGAATTTCAGTCAAATTCTCACTAAAAGTTGAATTGGGAAATGGATTCGATCACAAGTATAACCGAATTTCGTTATTTGAAATAAAATGATAGTGAGATAAACTGGAATAATTAATTCTGTTGAACACCCGCCATTTTATATACTAAAGTGTTTAGATCGATAGACAGTACGCACATTTTTTAAATAATTCTTTTTATACGTTAAAATGACATTTCTATCATGTCACACGACAATACAGAATGGAATAACAAATTGAAAATAATTTCTTTTTTAAATTTCTTAAAACTATTTGTATGTTAAGTAGTATACTTAGTTTAGAAGAAAATGATGCTGTGAAATTTATTCATAACAATTAACTAGATAATTAACTAGATATAAACAATTAATCACTTGAATTAAATATGCCATTGATAAAAAAAATTACCACACTTTATATCAACACAATAAGTTTAAAAAAAACTGAACAAGATCAACTAAATATCATCTATTCAATGGTGCATAACTTCAAGTGATGATAATGTGATGTCTTTTTTTGATCATGGCTAGTGTTTAGATCAAACTTGATTACATGCATTTCAGTGGTTGAGTTTAAAAAAAAAGAAATATGCATGAAATCATATCAAGCGACAGAGGTCTAATACGTGAACACAGGAACAACCGTGCTTAAACTACATTCATTTAATGCTATAAATATACGTGTGATCGAGTGCTAGCAAATTCACACCAAATTACGAATAACATTAGGGAAGAACTGTATTTCGAATAGAGTTTTAAGTGGCATAATATAAATTATAGTATAAAATTGAGTGGCAAATAAGATGAATAAATAAAACTAGGTGATTTTGAACAACTGACTTTAGGTTTCTTCGGAACGTTAGAGCAGTAAATTATCTGCTAACCTTGTAAACTAGACCTTTAAGTCATGGGTTGAGGGAATGATCCTATGGAAAAACTACATTGTTTAGACCTGGACATTTGATCAGTATCTCAAATCACACAGATAAACATAATGAATAAGGATGAGTAAAATTATTTACTCGTTCTGATTTACTATGATTATTAAAATGATATTTGTAATCAATTTATTATAAAAGCACTAGCTTTGCAAACAACAGACAGGAATCACGTTCGAAGATGCATAGCTCAGTTTGATGAATCGAGTAGAAGTATTACCAGCCTTCATGCGAAAAATGTGGCTTTAAGTCGAATAAATGAAAATACAAAATAGGTAATTACGTTATGTTACACGTTAGAATAACAATGAAATGCACCAACTTACAAACTCTTCATTAATTTTTTTCATACGTTTCTGCGTTTTATTCTTACCGGAACCCTTTCCATGAAATTTATGACTTAATTGACGAAAAGCTTCTTTAGCACTTAAATCACGTCCTAGCTCATCAACATATTCCAATTTAATATCCGGTTTATATTGTGTTAACTCTTTAAAATCTGATAATGGACCGGAGTAACGATCACGTTTGAAAAATTTCGCATCAATATCATCATAGCGTATATCTTCTTGAACAAAGTGTTTCGCCATTAAATTGACCATAGTTCCTGAACCAGTCTAGAAAAGCAAAAATAAATGAAGTCAGAATGGATGGCATAAATAGTTTGTCTTGAACAGTAAACAAAGAGATTAAGATTGTTTCAATGTTACATATCTCCGGAGTATTGCTCGTGTATCATGGGACAACCGAGTAAGCACTGCTACAGTTAGGAAACGAGTGATAGGTAAGCATGGTAGATCAATAGATGAAGTAGTGAAACTTCATCATTTGAGGTGACTGGGACATGTGTTACGAATGCCTAACCACCGACTACCTAGACGAGCGATGTTCTGTGGTGTAGGAATAGGTTGGAAGAAAGCTAGGGGCTACCAGACCAAAACATGGCAGAAATCCATGAAATCATTAACAAGTGGACTGAGCCATGTTGGTAAGTGTCGACTACTTGGTTGGGGCCTGCGAGATGATAGCAATCGATGGTTAGAGAACCTGAATGACATGGCTCAAAACCGATTGCGATGGCGCAGATACATCCTCTCTTTGGCTTCTCTCAAATCCTAACCTTCTGAATTCCTCATCACCTTTATATTTTTATTTCACTACATTTCACTTCTTGAATAATATCTTCGAACCCTAAAATTTCCGATCAACGCTAATACTGCTGCTACCTCTACTGCTATGGGATTTGAAGTGACAATTGCACCTCTGTGCTAATGTGGTATGGCAACCTGAACTGATGTGCGTACGTACGAAGTTCTATGTTGTTGTTGACTGTCCGAACATTGTTTCAAATATCATAGTATTATGCTTAAGAATTGAAAAAGAATTTGGATTGATAAAAGCAATAGAAATCAACTCACTCGTTTCTCTTTCTCTTTATCAATGTAACCTTTCTTCTCGGCCAACCGAATAGCTGAAAATACTCCTGAATCTAAACGTGGTTCATCATCTAAAACTCCATGTATATCAGTGTTTTCTACTTTAAAATGTTCCTGTTCAGATTTTTTGACTGGCGGTTTCGGTAAATTTCGAGTGGAATTCCCAAGAATATCATTACCTACAGTATGCCATCGATCTCCTAGAAATAAATGAAACAAATGTTATTCTATTCGCTATCTATAATACACACAGTCTACATTATTGAGCAGTACATAAAAAATAATACTATATAACAACAAATTAGCTGCTAACCAATCATTTAAAACGTGAAACCTGGTGGTATATAGATGCATCGGTTCAAGTTGCCACACCACGATAGCACATTAAGCTGAAATTCACAAGATGAATAGCGAAGTATATGAAAGTAAGATAAGATAAATAGTGAATGCATCTGCACCATAGTGAAAGATTTTGAGTCATATCACCTAAAGTTTCTAACCAGTAGTTACAACAATTGCGCGCACCCCAACCAAATAGTCTGAACGTAGCTACACAACTCAGTCACAGTCAAGAACCTTGTGTACCGACGACACGTCTTGGTCTGGCTACTGTCGGTTTTCTTTCAGCCTACTCCTATATCAGTGAATATCACGCACTGAGGAAGGTGATTTTTGAGTATAAGTAATCACTGCAATCGACTAAGACTCACTGATTCATCAAACTTAGTAAATATTATGCCTACAAAAGTATAGAAAAGTAATGGTTGATTCCCTTGTACATTATTCCGCGCCTAATAACATTCATGTCGTGACGGAGTCAAACTTTGGACAGTTGGATATTAATTCAGGCGGGGATGGCTTTGAAGACTAAATGGATAGGTTTTAAATATGGTGTACGACTAGGAAAGATATCGATGATAAAATTGCGGTACATCCGCTTACAATCATCGTAAAAGATGCTTACGGTTTACTTAAAAAAATCCTTGGATTCTCCAGATAAACCTATTTCACTCTCCTATGGCGCTATCAAATAATAACTATTAAATCAGGTTGTGTAAAAACTTCGAATGCCTTGAAAGGGCAGAACAACAATAGAGTCAAAGAATTTACTCTAGAATTACGGGAACAAGCCGCCAAATGGCGATCAAATTCACGTTCAGTTGTGTGCTCGACTAATTGCAGGGATTAGTGTACCATATCTGGAAAAATAGCTCATTCAAATGTTTAAATGCTCTTCTCATGATGTCAGAGGTGCATGTATTAATTATGAGGAACTGCATGAGACGGACTTCTAAAATATAGAGAGTTCAACTACACCGTTTGTTAGTCCTAATTTGATCATTACTCAAGGTGATATGGACAGGCGTTTAATTAACGATAAGCCTAGTTTTTGTGAGAACATCGGAAGCAATTCGTCGAAGAATTGCGCAGTAGCAAACAAAAGTGAACACGAGTTTTATAAATGACTATAATGTGTTATTTTACGTTCTTGTGATTCACGTATATTTCATCATGACAAATACTTTAAGTGTGGTAAAATAAGACACATTAAGTCCGTGTGTTATTTAGATCATGCTAGGTTCGTCGATTCTAATGATCAAATACTGTCATAATTTACAATAATTCACTTCATATTCGATAATGATTACATTTTTCTACTGTTTCCTTTTCATGATTTTATCGTTGAAACTGTGGTAGTAACAAATCTAACATTTCCGTCAGAATGTTAAAGTCATTAAATTCCAATGCTGTAACTAGACCTACTAAAGCTTCTATTTTGAGTATTACTTGTCATAAATTTCTTATTCTTGGATGCTGTAATTTACTGATCAGAAATGATAATGCTACAATTATGACTTGTAAGTTCCTCACTAGTAATTTTGGACCATCTATGTTAGAGCTAAGAAATTTTAGGATGATTCAACGACAACTTTCTCTAAGAACCAGTAATGAAAATTCTGATGACTACACAATCAAAGTGAAAAGATTCATACACAACTCCGAATCGTTCTGATTCTCAGGCAAGAAGAATCGAGATCTTGGAGAAAACAATCAATTCTATTACTATTACAAAACTCAAAGACTCGAAGAGGAGAATAAGTGAAGTATTTCAGTGCAAAAATTCGAAACCATATACAAAAGAAAGTGACAAAGTTACGGAAACAAAAAGTTGTTCGTTTGAATGGTTTACAGTCAGCTAATGTCAAGTATTATCAATAAGCTAATCTTCAACAGTCCACGAAAGGTTTTCTAAGGAATGTTAATAAATCTATGGCTTGTATATACGCCAGTTACAACGATCGGATGGGTTACAAGGATCTAGGTGAATCCGTTCCAATTTGCCTTTTTAATTCTGATAATAATGAACTTTTTCTAAACAATACTGAATATGAATTTAAGAGAGAGTCGCAGATACATTCAAATGAAGCCTTTTAAAAGACAAGTTCAACGGAGTAGAAAATAGAAACTCACTTGACGTTTCCAATTTTGTATCGTCATAATCTTCACTTTTCATACGATAACTACCTTCTGAATCATATTCGAGTTTTTGTTCCATTTCTTCGTCTTCTTCCTCTTTATATGGTAATCTTGTCGGTGGTGAACTTATATTATCATCATTAGTTTCAACTGTTTCACCATTATTTTGGAATCTAGATTGATTTTGTAAGAATTGATTGTAACGAGTATTTCGTTTCATACTTTCTTGAAAACCAATACCAATTGACTTATAAAATTCTGCAGTTGAATCGAATACAACATTGTCTTTTTTGTTACTATTTGACGCTGTATCAGTTGCAAGTGATTGTGACGCGGATTCAGATGAATGAGTGGCTGTATTTTTTGCTAAGAGTTGTGATGTAATCTTTTAAATATAGAAAGTATAATGAAAAGAAAATCAATCATATCTTAGTCTATATAAAGGTGATAATTAACAAAATGATTTTTTAAAAAGGAACAGAAATTATTCAGTTAACTTTATACCTTTGCAAAAGATTTTACTAATCTTGTTTAGAAATGATCATAACAAGTTTTAACTATCATGTAAATCAGAAACACAGTAAACATCCATATGCTTGGTTTAAATTCAAGTACTGGTAGCTCGCATTTTGCTTAACTTACATCCTACTTACTCATTTCAATATTATATCTATTTAAATGCTTCACGAGAAGGTTGTCATGAGAACACTGTAAACAACAATGCAAGTATGTTCAGGATGTAGTTTTACGCCTCTAAATCAAAAACAGTGCTTCAAGATTGGGTTGCATCGGCACCTGAACCAGTGATAGGGAGTGAAGTAGTCGAATGTGTCAACCACTTGACTTGTCTGGGGAGTTTCATCAGTGCTGATTACCAGATGACTGACGAAATCTCAGCATGGATACAGAAAGCTCGATTGGCTTTTGCAAACTTGCGTCACTTATGGCGTAGCCGAGATACCCGTCTGCTAACCAAAGGACGAGTATGCTGCGCAGTAGTTCGCTCTGTCCTACTACATGGATGCGAAACATGGCCGATAAGAGTAAAAGACATTCGTAAGTCATTAGTATTCAATTATAGATGTCTTCGAAGCATTTCTCGTGTATCATGGGACAACCGAGTAACCAATGCTATAGTTAGGAATCGAGTCCTAGGTAAAGATGGCAGATCAATAGATGAAGTAGTGAAACTTCATCAGTTGAGGTGTTTGGGACATGTGTTACGAATGCCTAACCACCGACTGCCTAGACGAGCGATGTTCTGTGGTGTAGGAGTAGGTTGGAAGAAAGCTAGGGGCGACCAGACCAAAACATGGCAGAAATCCATGAAGTTATTGACAAGTGGACTGAGCCATATTGGTAGGTGTAAACTACCTGGTTGGGGTCCGCGAGACGATAGTAATCGATAGTTAGAGACCTTGAATGACATGGCTCAGTATGGCAACCTGAACTTATGTACTCATGTACGAAGCTCTACGTTTTAACTCACTAACTGATTGACTATCATAAAAGAAATTGACATACTTCTTCTGGTTTAGAGATAATCCGAGACTTTGACTGTATCACTCGGCCAATAGTTTTCTCTAATTCACTTCTTAATTCATCGGGTTCATCGTTATGATCTATCTCTGACCAATCTTCATAATTATCTGTGAGTATGGGAGAGAAAGGAAGTAGCAAACATACATTTCTACCATTTATAAGAATCAGAAAAAAATTATTTTAAAGCAATCAACAAATTTTCCGTAGCTTATACTGCGATAACTTAAAACATCCTATTACATATTCAATTTCACTCATTCAACATAAACATGGATCGACTAATAGCTAACCTGTTCACTTCCAAAACGATACAAATAATTTGAAAATAATCTTTTTAAGATCTCCGAGTTACTTCTACAAGTTCTGGTTGTTTTTTAGTGCTTTTGAGAGTTGCTTCTATTATCTGTCATATATATATATATATATATATATATATATATATATATATACAAAGGACACATTTGTAAATGATTTGGGATAAATCTTACAAAAGTTACTGTAAAAGTTTAATTTCTTTATCTAACAGACAAGTTAGAATTCAAAGCTCGCATGAATGCTTTATCCTGTGGCTGTTATTTCTGACTTCTGTTTAAAAGAACTTTGTATAAGTTAGTCGCTTCCACTAACTTAAAACCAAATCTGTCATGTATTTGTTGCCATAAAGGACAAAACGGTAGAAGCAAAGGCTAATAACAACTTTCTAAATAAACAACTATCAGTCTAGCCCTTTTATATGTAGAGACTTCAATTTTTGTCACAGCACGATGATTGAACCAAAAGCCTACTAAATAAATGCGTTCAAAATCGGAGTTGTTAAATAATAAACTGCCATAAAATTCGCCCAAATTTAAGGCAATCATACAATTACAGATGCAGAATTATTTTCAGTATATAAGCATGAAGTAATGTTGGCTTTCTAGTTCTAGTTCAATAAATAATGATCCGTCGGCTTTTTAATTGTTTCTATGAGATATATTACGACTATTAAACGTTAGAAATGCTTGAATTTCGACTAATTATGTTAGGACATGTAGATTTTTGATTGCTCAATTGGTTAAGTTAATCCTAAATTATAACAATACTAAAGTTCATAAATCTAAGTAGCATTTAGTATGTAATGTTAATCGAATGTACTTCTTAAATAATTGAAGTAACAAACAGTAAAAAAGATACTATACCTTTCACATCTATTATCTGAGCAGATAATTCTTCCACGGAATATGTATCATTTACAGATGGGATGCTACTATCCAAGCGATTTTCTCTAGCTGCTGAACGACTTCCTAAATCAGAAGAGCTTGATTGTTCTGGTAATTCACTCAAAAGTTCATCAGCAGTTAACGGTCGACGAATTGTTTTAATACGACGTTTACGCTTTTTGAATTTTGCTGCCATTTCTTCGGTACTATAGTACTCAGAAGCTATACGAAGTTCAGTATCAGGTAACGATTGCTGAAAATGAATTAAAATAATTTATTAACAAGTAATTAAACATTTAAAATAAGCTGATTATTCATTGAATCAAACGTGATAATAACAATATTATTGAACGTGGAAAAAGTCTATTTGTTTGTACATCGATCTTTTAGATGTAGAACTCACTCTTCCTTCTTTTAGTTCAGCTTGTAACTGCTTCAACAAACGTTCATTCTCTGTATTATAAACACCGTCAGAATCGATGACAAAGTGATCTTTTTTAATGCCATTAATCTCTGCATCATACTTGCTTAGGACAGCTTTAGAACGTAAACCAAGAAGTACATCTTCATCCTCCTGATCTTCGATTCCAGCCAAACCAGTAGTCTTTCTTATGTTTTCTCTATTGACATCCGCTTTTTCATCATCGATTATATTTACATTCACTAGGACATCTTCAGATTCATCCAAAACACCTAAATAGAAATATGGAAATTAGTCTCGAATTCACTGCACAGATTAAAACAATGAAAGCGTAAAAGTAAAACTTATAGGTATTTAAATTTTTCGAATAACTTACAATATGAATTCATCCAAAACCTTCAGTTCATTACACAAAATGAAAGTCAAACTGTGATTTGTTATGAATGATCACTGGATACTCATTATTTAACAAAAACAATAAATGTGAATAAAATATTCTACACTCGTAGTATCATACTGAGTACTTAAAAATCCCTCCGATACCATCAGCATAGATTTTTCGGGATTCGATTGAAAGTATCTCCAAATCATATACTAGAACCACCTAGAGAATAGCCACGAAGTTAGGTATTACGTTCTAGATTAGGTAAGCTATTTAACAGTGTCATGAATACACAGCGTTTGAAATGTCCGAACCATGTGTTAAACAATGACGAGTCACCACCAACTGTAATATACGATAGTTATAAGCATTTGCAGCGCTGCTGGCTTCTCACAACGGAAAGGTTTAGAAAAGGTCGACCCTATAGATGTCACACCTCACCTTAACACACGGATTTTTGTATTTCGAAGCCCCACTGCTGATCCCAGCTAAATCGCAGATGTAGATATAGCAATGAGTTCTAAAGTAGAACTAGCTCTCTTAGACTGAATTCCAGTCGCTTGTAAGCTATCCGGCAAAATGGGACAATCAGAACTCGGAAAGATATGGACACTCACCGTTGCCTCTACCTCAGCTCCAACTGATTGCAGCTGGGCGAGGTAAAAGATGAATGTTAAGGAGAGCTTTCCAACCTTCTAAAAGCTAATCCCTGTGGTGTAATAACAGTGGTGGGTGGTTTTATTGCTCAAGTAGAGAGATTAAGTGAAAATGGAAGACATCCAGGTGTATCTTATGGGGTCAAGGATCATCGAACAGATGATGTCGACCATCTGCTGCGGCGATGCTTGAGTTACCGTCTATTTCTAGCAAGTTGATGGAAGTCCGTCAACTCCTAATGAGTTTATCTAAAACAAGAGAGAGCAGAAGGCCCTGACAGGCTAATACCTGAGATTTTTGAGAATGGTGGTCCAGTCTCAGTAATTAGATTAACTGAGATCTTAGCTAGAGTCAGGATACTGGACCTAACCACATCTGACTGGTTTCAATCGCAAGGACAAAACTCATGTTGTTTAATTCATAGAGTCAGTTTAATTGATAAAGTGTGTAAAATAGTAGCTTCAATAATACTTCAACACCTATCTAGAGATTGTGAAGAGCAGACTCGAGAAAACGAGGCTGGTAAGGGTTCAGACCTGTACGTGGATGTATAGACCAAATATTCACATCAGCAGGTTTGAGAACATAGACACACATATCGGAGTCCCACAATAGTTGTATTCCTCGACATTAGGGAGGCATTCGACTCTGCTGATCGTGAGGTTCTGTGTCAGTGTCTATCATTGAAAGGAACACCGCAAAAATACATTAACTTTGCACAGACTCTCTATTTCAACACCAAAGCGAATTTTCATCGTAATTGGTTGCTTCAAGTGATGTTCGTCAGCGTTATCCATTTTCAATGTTCCTATTCAACTTTGTCACTGATATGCTTCTAGAGACAACTCTCTCATCGTCTGACCTTCCAGTTGAAATTTTACTAGAGGATTTACTTGTTGACTTAGAATATGCAGGTGATATAGTACTCTTTAGTGAAGACGCTGACAAAATGCAGTCTTTTTACCACCCTAAGCAGCAATGCAAGTGTGTTTGGGGTGCGATCTTCCCTCTCGAAATGCGAAATGTTGCTTCAGTACTGGCTAACGTGGGGCACCTGAATTAGTGATAGGGAGCGAAGTGATTGAGCATGTTTATTGCTTCGCTTATCTTGGGTGATCTCATTAATCTTGATGGTCTGGTGTGTGACGAAATCCCGCCACGGATACAGAAGGCTCGACTGGCTTCGCCAACTAGCGTCACTTTTGGAGTAGGCGAGATACCCGTTTGCAAACCAAAGGACTAGTCTAGTGCGCATCAGTTACACTCATCCTCTAAGGATATTTTTAGGTTATCGGTATTCGATTATGTGTCTTTGAAGCATTGTTCTGATGTCCTGGGACCACCGAGTAAACAATACAGTTGTAAGGAAAAGGGTACTAGGTAAGGATGGCAGATAATAAATGAAGTAGTGAATCTTCACCAGTCGACATGGTTAGGATGTGTGTTACGTATCCGCAACCACCTACTGCCTTAACGAGTTATGTTTTGTGATGTAGGGATAAGTTGGAAAAAAGCTAGGAACGGCCAAACCAGAGCATGGCACAATTGGACTTAGTCATGTTGGTAGGTGTGGACTACATTGCTGGGGCCCGCGGGACGATAGTAACCGATGGTTAGAGACCTTGAATGACACAGCTCAAAATCGCCTGCGATGGCGCAGGTGCTACCATTCTTTGTCAACTCTCCAAATTCAATTTTCTGAGTCCCCCATGATCTTTTGTTTCTTTTAAAATTGACCCCATCGGGATATGTTTCTCGAATCTTATCTTTGATCCCTAATCTTTCTGATTACCGCTAATAGTTCTACTACCTCTACAACTATGGGATCTGAATTGACGATTCCATCTCTGGGCTAATGTGGTATGGTAACTTGAACTGATTTACATGAGTACCAAGCCCTGTGTTGTTTCTGACTGACTAAGGATATGAATGTATCATTTCTCCTCTGCAAACAAATACTACAAATAGCGGACCTCCGTCGATACAACCTTAAACTGCTACTACTTTAGTAAGACCAAGTGTATATTATCATGTAAATAGGCACTCATTGTACTTCGACAATTGGTTAGCTTTCTGTGATTTCAGGTCATATGTTAGTGCTCCTAATATCGTCTAAACGTAACGCTCGTAGGAAGCCGCCTAGTCAGAATGAATATAATTCAAATTAGAATACCCTTTTTGCCTTAAGTTTTTAGAAGTATTGACGAACGAATTATTTATGGAGATACATAACTTCGATCAAGTTCAAACGAGTACGTCTGTCTTGCATACGTGCTTCGAAAGCAAAATATATTACCTTCGTAGTTTGGCTGGTGAGTTCCATTCAGTGATTTTGTATGTAACTTGAATCTTACAATTCTGCACATTCAGTCGGTGTCGAAAATCGGGTAATTTGGATTAACTTTTAGGATGGCATCGTTAGCAGCATTACGTGGGATTCGAAATTTCAATCTACTGGTTGGAAAGCGACTGCATTATCAAACAAGCCATCTTTTTAAGAGAATAATAAACTGGCATGCTAAACAGACTTATCCTTAGATTGAAATCCGCGACAAACTTATATCAAGATAAAAAAGTTGGATGAGGGGTAACTACTACAGTGAGTATCACAAGTTGCTACAGGCTTAGATCACGAAATGGTAATAAGATGGGTGGATATAGTAGCTGAATATGGAAATGGGCTGATACATACACTGAATATCTTAATTTCAATTGAAACTATACAAACATATACCGTATGAGGATAAATGCCAAAAACACTAGAGACTAAAACATTTGCAAGCAAACCTGAATCTTTAATTGTCAAGATGACTGATTGACCGTCGACAAAACGAGATGAACTGTGTTCAACGCGTAGACCAGCCAAATCGTTGGATTTGTATTTTTTATCATTTTGATTCAACCTTGACTCCACAAACTCGGAAATAGCCAACTGATCGTCAATCTCAGACAACAGTTTCGCCTAGGAAACGAATTATGATAAGTAAAGTCTGCATAGGGCTTACTCTCTCTTCGGCTTGTTTTTGGATCCGTTCTTTTTCACGCATTTTCTCAACCCAGGATTGAACATCCGACTCATGTGCAGAAGGGATAGAGAGTTTGTCCTGTCCAATTTTGTCTAACAACGATCTTTTTTCCCTCAATACGTTTAGCTTCTCTTTGATTACTTCTGATTCCTTCAGTTTTCTGATATCTTTAGCTGGTGCGTGAACGTAGCAATCAGCTTGATTATCTAGCGTTCGTTCTGATTTCGAGGCACCATCCGTTTCCAGGGGAGCAAGACCCAACTTAGCCCTCAAAGCACTGAAAAAAGGTTTGTTATTTCACTTTGAATTTACTTTGTTTCCGCAACAGAAAGAGAAATATCAACACCTGTGCCACCGGCTAAATATAAGTTAATGAATAGTTAATACAAACTTACTATCACTAGGTGACTGATCATCACGTCTGGTAGCGTTTCGTCCATAATTCTGATCCAAAGGCGAACGCGACCTTTCGCGATTCTTATGGCGATGTTTTTTATGTAACCGATGAGGTGAACTCCTTGTCATCCTGAAAACCTAATAAAGCCGCCTTGACCTTGAAGGTCAAATATCAGAAAGTATGAATGTGGCGGCTTAAATTTAAGAAAATGAAGTTACACACTTGTCCTGTAAAAATTAGGCCTTTTTATATTAGCTTTCAGCATAAGAATACAATGTTTTAGAAAGATTATAGACAAGTGTATATGACAATCTGAATGAAAGTGAAATAACAACTGGGACAGATTAAATGATACACTTCCATTCAGTTAAGTATTTATTTGACAGTTAGTGAAAAATAGCCTAAGAGTGACATATGAACGGTGTGGCGTCCAAGGCTAGAAGCTGACAAGGTGGAGTATCGAGTGAGTTACAATTTTCCTATTTTTATTTTTTTCTGTTTATTCATTGTACTTCGACAATATTTATGTATTTGTGGATTTAGGGATGAACAGATTAGGTCGATAATGTTTCTTGCAGATGTAGCTGTAAGCAAATCCCCAAAATAAAAAGTTTTGCAAGTCTTCGACACTGTTCTTGACTACATTACTTTTAGTGAACACTGCTGAGAGCACTCATTCACGCATCCGCAGCTGCTCATCAGTTAGTCAGTCAGTTGCTATGTAGAACTTCGTACGTAAGTAAATCAGTTCATGTCACCATACCACATCAGCACAGAGATATAATTGTCAATTCAAACCCAATAGTAGAAGAGTTAGTAAGGGTATTAGAAGTAATCGGAGATGTTAGGGTGAGAGGATATTATTCAAGAAGTGTGATGAGAAAAAATTAGAAAGTCAAAACTAGAGGTATTGAAGAACCCAGAAGGTTAGGATTTGAGAGAACACAAAGAATAAATGCACCGGCGCCATTGCGAACGATTTTGAGCCATGTCATTCAAGGTCTCTAACCATCGATTATTATCATCTCGCGGACTCCAACCACTCGTCAATGACTTCATGGATTTCTGCCATGTTTTGGTTTGGCCGCCCCTAGCTTTCTTCCAGCCTATTCCTACACTACAAAGCAAAGCTCGCCGAGGCAGTCGGTGGTTGGGCATACGCAACACGTGTCCCAACCACCTCAACTGATGAAGTTTCAATACTTCATCTATTGATCTGCCATTCTTACCTAGCACCCGTGTCCTAATAACAGCTGCTCATCACCAAGTAGTCCGTGCTATGAATTCCCTCATATCCATAAACAAGGTAATTTCACTCACTCCTCGACATCCCTAACATCGCTCTTACATACCTACAATCCTCTTCATCCCTGATTTTGTGATTAGTTTGCCTTTGGTTATTCTCCATCTGAAAGCTGTTACGGATACAAAGTCAAACTCTGAATATCCACGATATCTAAATAAAATTTTAAATTTTTAGTGCTTATTGCCGATTAAAAATGTATCCCCATGTTTTCAACATGAAGCGAGTGAGTGAGATTTACGTGTACAAATATACATACGAAAATAAACGAGTTATCGGGTTATTTAAGCGAATAACGTTAAAGTTAGTGAATAATTATATGTGTAGACAGTTGACAATGCTCATTCATATACGCTCATACAAATATGATAATAATGAAAGTACATCGACATACATAAGTTGTTCCTTTACGGATGAGACTGTCTTTTAAAACACTGACAAGGACCGGAAGTGTGCAATTTGGATTGGAAATCGGAACATTCTTCCAGAATTGGAGACACTCCGCGGTATTATTCAAGGAATAACAGCTGTAATATTGTTTAGGTAATGATGTCTATTTGTATTTATGATCAATAATAGAATCGTTACTTACCCAGGTGACTCCTTTCGGATTTAAACTGAGCAAGGCGCCTGTCTAAACTTCCTGAACAGTTATTCCTAAACCCAAACCTCGATTTGGATTCTTCATTCGTTGCTTCCCAGCTTACGCACCAACAATCGAGTCTTCCTTGCATCGTCTCGCTTATCGAATTCTATTCTAACTGTATCTTCCCAACGTTAGAACCACGTGAGAAAAATATTTCCACTTCCGGCATTAAAGATGAATTCTGGTATGCTGCTAGCAACTGCTTCAAAAGCCGTACTTGAGCAGTGGGTGTTGAGGTGTTGATTCAAAGTCTCCAACAACCGCATTTGTGCATTTAATTGCGTTTGCTGTTGTTGTTTGTTATTTGAGAATAAATTATTATTAGTAGTATTCGTTTGAGCTGGTCATCTGATATATGCATCTTGAATTTTTTTCCTTTCTCCCCGTCATCAATTTTATAAATCTCTCTTAGTGAACCCAGCTATTCCTACTGCTCAGTATTCTCGGACAACAGTACAATCGACAAGTTCCCAAATCAGAACACGGTGGAAAAGGAAAAGATTGTATTCCAAATAGCAAGGTTAAATAGAAGTAAGAGGTCGAAGCGAAGGTGAAATAGAAACAACGTTAGTATCTTTATAGTTTATAAGTGAGGAGCTTCTGGAATCTAATCCACGTGGTCGACTGGCGCTGATCGATTAGATTTAGCTGATCATTGTGCAGCTAACAACATGAGAATTTTCTAGAATACTCTCCAAGTATCGATCAGGATCTGACTGAATAGGAATTAGCCAATCAGCAGCTAACGCAGTCATGCTTTATTCCATCTATGTCCTACTAACAAAAGCATAAAGTTCATTGTTCATTTTCCTGGTTTATTTTCCACACCTATTTTATCATTTTTTCTCGCTGACGAAGAGAATCGCGATTGCTTTAAGACCGAAACAGTGATATAGGTAGAAATAGTTACGTGACTGAACACTCGGTCACTTGTGATTTACTGCTGACATTGGGCTTTTAAGTAGATGCTGCAACAGCCCAAGTAAAGTAGTTATTAACTAGCCAATATAACAGTCAAAATTAATACCGTATTTCTAAGGTGAGTATTAACTTCTTCTCTTTATGTAAGCGTTATATTTTACATTATCAAATTTTAAATTCTGGAAGGTCTATTTGTTTTAATGATGACTTCCCCCAACCACTGTTATCCTACTACAACCATCCTGCTGAATGTTTGTTTATATTCAGCCGGGCAGAATATATGACTCAACAACATATTAGAAAGCACAAATCATATTTTTACATGTTCATTAACTATGATCGATCAGCACGCCTGCCGATAATATTATGCAGAACACATTAATTTCAGTTTCTTTAACCTGTATTCAACCGATTTCTTGTTCATTTGCTCATGTATAATAGGCATGTGTTTATCGTTCCTTCTGTGGTTGACCGTAATAATTTACATTTGTTTGTGTTCAAAAAACAGATTTTACTCGTCGATTGCATTGAAGCTGTACGTTGAAGAATCGATTAGGAAAACTCATGTACATGGATGTAGGGACTCGCAATTTCAGTGTAACGTTCACTTAGTTATAATGGCTAGAGAAAATAGTGACTTCTATACACTTGCGTGATCTTCGGGTTCACCGTTCTAATGAAGGTTAAAATTCAGTCTGCACTGCATTTTTAGTCCAGCTGCAGAGTCATTAGATTCTGATGATTCATTGATTTAATAGAAAAGGTACTAATTTGAGCACAGACACCTTGGGACATAGCGAATATGATAAAATCCTAATTTTTCCGAAATTCACTCGGTGGAAGGTTGAATGCCCTCAATATTCAAGACTCATTGAAATTCGTGACTTATAGGGAATGTTGTGTGAATTATACAATATGGATTATTACAAGTATATAGACGCATGAAAATGATGCCTCTGATCCCTCTTGTAATATGAGATAAAGATTATTCCAAGTTAGATTCGACAATATGGACTTAAGACATGCGACATATCACCACTAATGTTGAACAGTTTACCGGTCTTCATCAATTTCAAAACTAACCAACAAGCATTAATAATGGCAAAGTTTTATTCAACATTATGTTTCTCCCAGGACAGAGTAGGTTGGAAAATACTGTTCGGCGGCGTATGCTCCACTGGGTATAAAAGGCGTAGGTAAGTAGGTAAGTAAATCAACATTATGTTTCGTACAGTATTGAGTCCTTAATATGGAATATTTCTACCAGTTTCCTGTTCAGTACAGCAGCCTCCATGATAATTCAGATTATTGTTTATGAACTTTGAAGGCAATATGTTATAGGCCTGAATTGTCCACTAAACTCCGTAGACGTGTTAAAACCAATGCAAAGAAGTAACATTTTGAAATGCTTTTACGTTAGGAAACAAGTAGCCTAGGTAGTAATAACATCCGCAAATAATGAATTGTATGCTATGGACTGAATCATGAAGCAATGTTCACATTCAGTTTGTTCGATCCTTTTATACTAAAATCAAGTATTCTTATACACGCTCATAAAGGTAGATACAGAACATGGATACGATGAAAATATGATCCATGTTAGAATTCAACCATGAGGCATGACTTCTAGGGAAGGAGCTCATACAAATTCTGTACAGCTGGAGAGAACCTCAATCACTGACACAGATAACCACCTTTACCTAAATCGTAACATCAAAAGTAATTGAAACTTTTTCACAGACGCGGGTTCAATTACTATTTATTAACCCTATTAGATTTAAACACTAAAGATAGATATTAGCACTAGTTTTACTGGTTTCATCAACCTCATTGCTAACATTGGCAGACATGGACGTTTTTAGTTACCTAAATTTAGCATAAGATCCATAATATACAAACGAGACGGTGACATTGTACCAGGGAATCAATCAAACAGGAAGGAGAGGAAATAATTATTTCGGTTTACTTGCGGAAAGCCGTGATCAAGCTAGAGTTTTCGATGACAGTGATATCACTTCATCCCTCAGCAGGGACTGACGAATGTACCACAGTCAGTTGTGGTGAAATAAAAATCACAGGGAAGCAAAATAACACCGCCAAACAGTTTCATTATAAAATTTTACCTGAAATATGTACAATTCGGCTGACGAATGAGAAATTAACCATTATCACTGACTATGATACACTTGAACAACTTGACATCATTAAGTTTATCCTCACAACTTTCGGCCCGATAGGAGATCCATATGCTGATGGCTTATATGCAGATAAACATAGTGTATCAATGGAAAATTAAAACGTCATTTGCCTAAAACCTCAGTGAAATTCATTTAGGCTTTTCTGAGAAACTTCATCACCCACGAAAAGTAGCTAATTCAGATCTTCTATGTATCTCATGGTTTGAAGAAAGCTGTCATGATGTAACTTAATATCATCAATGAGTAACCAAAATTGTGGTGGACACACAGTGATCAATATTGAAAATTGAATTAAGTTTTCTAGGTCAAATGGGTTTTCATGGTGAAGCTTACGGTTACTCATTTGAAAACATTTTAATTCAATCAGTAATCTTTTAACTTTAGTCGCGCTTACAGTTCTGTGGTATGTGTAATAACCTTATAATGTTCTGAACAAATGTTTTTAACTTACTTGTATGAATTTTTAGGCTATTTTACGTTTATTTATCATTGTATGAGCTCTTATTCAATTTTTCTCGTCCTCATAAACTTACTATGTTATTACGATACTGCGAAAACTGTTAAGACTAAGAGCATGAGTATGACAAATTAAATCTAAGAGGAAGGTTTCACGGTAATTAAATCGATAAGAAGGCGCATTCCGAAGTGTAATGTGAATAATGTATTGTTAGGAATGAAAACTTCCTTTTATTTGAAGCGATTTATACATTTTTTGAGTCGTGAATTTTTAAACTTAGGTTGCGAATCAGTTTTTGACTAACCATCAATAAGTTTTAACCAACTAGTTGAAATTATAAGCGTCTCGTTTTCTCAATTACATCGTTCAGCTAAAATTTTAACTTACAACAGTTACTTAACCATGGTTTCAGTCATTTTTAGGCCGCTTTCACTCATTCAGTCTTACATTAACCAAACTATCCCACCAGTATGAAAAATAAACTAATACAGCTGTGGATTTACCCTGTATTTTAAAATTCAAAAGTTGCTGTTGCATAATTAGGACAATTATTACTCTTCATATACTCTGAAGTTTACTTCATTATATCTTGAATTACGATTTAGCAATATATATCTGAGAAATTCTCGACTCTATTGAAATGTTTTTTTGATAGTAAGTGCCAATAATTCATAGTTTAAGAAATAAGTGTTGTCATTTCTTCTAGCGTCAGTGATATCGGGCACTAATTTTATTGCCAGAGAATTTTTTTCAATGACTTGATTTTTTAAGCAATAGCATATGTTTCACACCCAGTTTTAACCCTGTAAATTTGTGGTTTTTAAGTAATTAACTTAAGGAAGCTTGTTAACCCATATCTCAAAGGATGCGGAATCGATTTAGCATTTTAGAAATATCCAAATCTAAAGATATCCATCATCTAGTGGCTGTTAGCTGCTAGTCTTTTTAACTGGCTTGTAGTAGTTTTCATCTGTTGCTTGCTTGGTCCACTTTTATAATAACTCAAAATATTTCGAAATCAAAAGTCTATGTTGCATAAAAGTTTTGGATGGTTGATGCTCTAAAAAGGGACTAAAATTAACACTTACTAAAAAATGTAATTTATCGTGTGTGATCATACTTTTATAGTTGAAATACCTATTTAATTTGTATAGATGCACATAAAAATACTGTAGAAGCAATAATATCAACAAGTTTTGATTGCACTTGAAACGATCAGGATATTATCTGCTCTACAAAAGACTTATTTAGGGTTTTTAGCTGTCTTGCCTGAGTACATGAAATACAAAAGTTTCTTTTTGAAATTATCTCGATATACTGTTTGATAAAACATGCTTATTGATCTATGTTATTCAATAAAACTAAAAACATACAACTAACAAACAAAGTAGTATCAAAATTTTAACGAGTTATGGACCGAAAAGTCGGGTTTCTACGTGTTATTTTGGGGTTATAAGCCACTATACATTTGACATATTTCAATAAAATTACCTATCACTAGATTAACATCAACATATAGAACCATGTTAGAATGTATATACTGTAATTGTTAATCAGTTTCTCAGTTCTATAAGCGAGATCCCAAGCCAGAAATTCGCTACTGGTTTTTGGTGGTGACCAATTTTCAATACAACTAAAATTTGTCCATTTATATATGAGTTATAGTTTTCAAGAAAATTCTGAGCAGCCAATTACATTGAATGCATATTGGGTTTTTCTTAATAAAAATTTCCTATTTAGTCGCTTTATTTGATTTCGCTGTCGTTAAGATATTCTTTTTGCTTCTAAAACTTTTAGGCGTATGGATTCGGATAAAATCAAGTAAGAGATTCTATTTTCAGTTGCATTTACTGTGTTTAAAGAATTCGTTCTCAGTTAACATTTGTTCTGAAGGTTCTTAACCGTCAGGAAAGTTTAATGGACTGTCCGTTGTTTTCTATGTGCGGTAATAAAAGAACGCTCTTATTAGGTTGACTAAGGGAAAGAAGTGTAGAGTTGGTGGGTACCAAAAACTCAAATATATTGGTGAAACAAATGTTTAAGGTGTAACGTTATGCACTAAAGTTACGCGAAATAGCTCTTAGACTGAGGAACTTTCTATAACAGGTAAACTCTCATTTAGAAGATGAGAAAACATAACACAGGGCGTCTATTAAATTACTTTTAGCTACTTATCTACTAAAATTTTGTCAGTAGTGTAAAACTGAAAATTATTTTTATTGACATGTTTACATTTAGTCAATACAGATTGGATTGTTTAAATATCTGTTTGTCTCACCTGACATTGAGTACACAATTGAAGCTTATCACTTAAACTTCAAAGATACAATTAGTTATGTATATGTTATTTTTAAATATTACCAGAAATAAGGTATTTGATCATAAACTGCAGTAGGTAACATAACTATCAAATATTGCTCATGATTGACCATACAAAAAATTTTAAAGCCAAAAAAATGTATTGGAAAGAAACTTTGGAACTTAATGTGAATCTTCAGTGTTTAAAGGGACTAAAGCTCACAAAACAGATAATTATTATATATGAATATAAATAGTATTTCCAATTGCGTTATTTTGGAGTCTTATTAAAAACGCATAATTTATTTAGTCTTAGACTTTTTGAAATTATTGCAATAAATTTATAACTTCATCTAAAATAACAGTGCTGAAACCTAGATCTTCTAGTTTTATGGATTATTTGATGGCCAAGTGCTTTGTCATTATATTAACAGCTAAAGTATGTAACAGGAACTACTGAATGCCTGTTGTTGATATTTTAAATACTCTACCATAATCAAAGCATAGTATTCTGTTCACACATGTCGATTTAAAATGTTATACCATCGATACATTAAAGGAAATAATGAGTGAAGGAAGTTAAAATTAATTTCTACTGTCTAAGTTAATGATTTAAATGAACAACCATGTTTGAGGCAAATGCATCTTTTACAAATAATAATCTGTGAGCTGATAGACGTTCATTAAAATAAAGTAAGGTTCTGAATATTGAAATGACTAGCATATTAAATCATTAAGTTGATAAGTCAGTTTAAAGTGAACAGTGATGATCACGATAAGTGTAATAAACACTGATTGATAGGTGTATCAGTGTATTTACAAGTGAAACTAGTTGTTTAGTCACGATTTAAGTAGTTTTTGAAATATAATGATTCAATTGACATAATAATATGACAAACTTTGAGGATAATATCGCAGTTATAATAAGCTTTTTTCAGACTGAAGTATGACGTGGATACTGTAAGACCATTTTGTTGGTGACAATGTTAGTACTAATAGTACTGCAAGTAGTATATGTGACAGTTAGAATTTTTAACTAACACTTTCATACATAGAATAAATTGGAAAACCTGAAAAGATTTATTGACTATGAAGTGCACATGTTACTTGCCAAAAACAGCTTATTTCAGCACAACTTTTATGTTCTTCCCGATCAACGTAGCCCTCTCTACTTTAGTAACAATAAATTGCCCACAGTAAAGATTTTAGATTGTTATTCCCTTCATTATATAATGCTTACTATTTGTTTTCTGCTTATTTGAACAGACTCAATTCCTATAAACACGATGAAAGGTTTAGTGAATCCAGCTCAGAAAGTGAAAGTGATTTGGAAGATGAGATACCAGAGCGTAGACAAGATTCAACGAGTGACTTACCGTCTGAATATTGGCAAATTGCGAAGTTAATCAAATACCTAAAGGTTCGTAATTTCACTATCTTCCAATAACGACAACGTTATTGATGTCCATGTCGCAGCCTTTCAGAAAGCGGAGAAGTGTTTCTCTGATTTATCATTTTTCTACATCATGCAGCCTTAACAAGTTTGGAAACGCATGATGATAGAAAATACGTACTTTATTTTTAGTATTTTCCACTACTTTATCAAACAAGAAATGCATTAGATTCTACATGAACTTCATGCTAACAGTTTTAAGGAATAAACGGACAGTACTTAAAGAATACGTTTTGACCAGTTGTTTGGTTCTATTCTGCGACCAACCAATCATGAGTCAGATGAAATTAGTTATGGTATTAAATGATGAAATAGGTTACCAACTACTCAGTTTAAGTTCAAGGAACGTACATAATAAGAATAATGGTATGAAAAAGCTCTAATAGTCTTTTGATGATGATCTACCTGATGAAATCACTATCAAATTTACTGGGAGTTTTCGATGTAGTTAGGGTGTTCAATATACTTATACATCCTTTCGATTGGAGCTATGGAGATTAGTGTTTTTACACATTTGAAATCATCAATCAATCATTGTCAGACCACTATTAGAAACCTGGAAGCATTGGACGGCCGTTTCGTCCTGGTATGGGACTCATCTGCTAATTAATACATATTATATATTTCCTCTCATCAACACATGATTAATGATTACTTTATCAAATAGACACTGCATTCTCACAGCTATTTGATATGTTGCTGTAGGTTTAAAAATTATTAGGAAGTACAACTGATAAGCCTAAACAAGCAAAAAAATATAGACATTAAATTATCGATTGACCATTTGTCTTCTACGAGTACAAAAATTTCTCACTTTCTACAAATGAACTCAAAAAGCATGATTATTATGATGTCATGTTTAAATTTTGATGGATCTTTTTTTATATATTTTTACAAGGGTGGAAATCAAACATCAACTCTCATATCTTTATGTGCTTTGAAAGATATGCCTTTAAAAACTGAAATTTGTCAACTTGCCGTTCGTGATGTCGGGGCAGTTGAAGTATTGATTAATTTACTTGAAACAGATGAACTTCGTTGTAAAGTGAGTTATCTGCTTCTTTAAACAAATATCAGATTTAATTTAATTTTGAGTTTTCATACAAGTGAGTGGTTTTGTGAACTTAGTAGCTAGGAGGTTAACGCAATGGCGTTCAATGCGAACGGGACTAGTTCCGAGTCTTGGAATGAACCTCAACTTTGGGATGCAGGAGCATCTGGAGCACGAGTCCCGAACAGAGCGACATTAGGGCCCTGGATTCCGCTGCTACTGGTCATACCCCGTCTATGCTGTATCAAATAACAGATTGTTATTCAACTCAATTTTCTTTTGTTAAACTGAAAAAAGTTATGAGAGAAAGAAGCAGAAGCTATTCATAAATTCTTGGAATTCATTTTCGATCTCGACTGTCGGCTTTTTATCTGATAAGTTCGTCACTTAGTATGCTTGAGGCTATTACGAGTTTACCTTAGTCGATAAACGCGAACGAGACTTTTACCAGCTTCCAGGAAGGCTACCTTGAATACCAGAATCGAAATAGAAGACTTTGTAGGCGTAGAAGTATATTCTACAAGCACCCAGCAATCCCAGTACAATCAAGCATACAACTCTCGTTTATTTATACAACATAACAACGTCCTTGAGACAGTTAAGAAAATAGCATACTAAAATACACTGCAGCCAATCACAGCCATTGATTTTCCTGGTGGGAATTGAAATCTCAAGGTCATTTGATCAGCCCCTGCTGGCGAAACGTGAAAACCAAAATACGGCATTATCAAGCGAATTTTGGGGATCTAACATCCCCAACATTATCTAACAACTGATTGGGTTATAGCCCTGTCAGAATCTTTTGTATTCAAAATAATAGCATTAATATGAGGTACTCGCATCTTTGTTCAGTTGGTCAGTGATTTTTTCCTCCGAAATTAATTTGATTAATATTTAAATATTCGTTTGTGTGACCGAATTTTACGTTTGACCATTTCATTAATTCGAATATTCTCTCATATTAGGTTTTCTGTCATGTAACCATTTTAGAATCAGACTAGTAAACAGAAAACAAATTTTTACACAGTGAATCCAATCAATTTATCCAAGTCATAAGACATGGTCCAAGCTGTGTGTTGAATTGATTCTTGGATATCAGTAAAATTATGCTAAGTGACTTACTTACTACGCCTATTACCCCCAATGGAGCATAGGTCGCCCACCAGTTTTCTCCAACCTATTCTGTCCTGGGCTCCAGTTTCCATTTCTGTCTAATTTTCGCTCATTCTTCTCATATCTTTCTCTATTTATCGGCATAATGTGTTTCTTGGCCTTCCTCTTTTCCTTTGACCTTGAGGGTTTCAAGTAAGGGTTAGTCTTGTGAGGCAGTTAGGTGCTTTTCGCAATGTGTCCTACCCATTTCCACCACTTCTTTCCGATTTCTTCCTCGTTTGGAATCTGGTTTGTTCTCTCCCACAGTTCGTTGTTGCTGATGGTGTCTGGCCAACGAATACGAAGTATTTTGCGTAGACAGCTGTTAATAAACACTTGTATCTTCTGGATGATGGCTTTGGTAGTTCTCCAGGTTTCCGCTCCATACAGTAGAACTGTCTTGACATTTGTATTGAAAATCCTGATTTTGGTTTTGTTTGAAAGTTGTTTGGAGTTCCAGATATTTTTCAATCGTAGAAACGCAGCCCTTGCTTTGCTGATCCGCGCCCTCACATGTGCATCGGATCCACCTTGATTGTCGATGATGCTGCCAAGATATGTAAAGGTGTTAACGTCCTCCAAGGCATCTCCATCAAGAGTGATTTAGTTGGCGCATGTTGTGTTGCATCGGAGAATTTTTCTTTCTCCTTTATGTATATTGAGACCAAATGCTACACTGGTCGTCTTCTCTTGCATTTGTTGTTGCCTGTGCGATAGAAGAGCCAGGTCAGCTGCGTCCTATCTGTCCACTGATTACCGTGCTTCCCTCCAGATGTTGACGTCTTTATAATCCAGTCGATCGCAAGGAGAAATAGAAAGGGTGAGAGTAAGCAACCTTGCGTGACTATAGTAAGTGAGGTAAAATGTTATTTACTGAGCCAGAGGTTAACGTCCATGTTATGGGTTTTAGATTTATCAGTGACCACCACTGTATAAATGTATCTAAAGTAAGATATTTATATGTAAAATAATACACTTGAGTTCAGAATATAGCATATCCTAGAAAATATTATTGTTTTAAAAGTGGGAAATTCATCTACTGTTCATCTATGAAGTCTCTTACATCTCGACTATGCATTCGAATCACTCCAAAACATAAATATCTGTGAATCAGAAATCTATGTCTTTCATTAGTATTTTATTACTTTCTTATCTTGAATTCCTAAATTTGTAGTATGTAGAGTTCCCGCTGAAGACTGACATCATCTTGGGAACCATTATGAATCAGCAAGTAACAGGTAGTTTTTCCGTCCTAGTTTTAAAATCCTTAAATCATCGGAACCCATTATGTTTGAATCAGTTCTCCAGTGGATGTAGTTCACTCATGCTTCAGCTTCAAAGTTTCATATATGGAACAAGTACAACATCACTTTAGAGTGAACGAATATAATCGGCAAGATGAGTGATGGTTATTAACCGATATGATTATATGTCACTTATATATGAAGTTGACCTGATGTACATTTTTCTTAGACTTGAAATCAATAATAAAGTTATAGTAAAAATGAAAGCTACTACCATATTGTATTGAAACAAAATTGTACCAGACAACTTTCTATTATCACATGTCCAGCTTATTTTTTCTGACTATAAATACTTGTTCATCTCACTGAGTTGGTCCTCTTTCCTTCTCCGCATCACTTTGCTTTGCTTCGCTTTCATGCTTTCTATTCTATAGTCTGTCTGCTTTCACAAATGTATGAAATAAATACATTTCAAAATAACAAACCGTATTAGGTTTTTAATTACCGCCATCGTACAAAACAGGGTTCACCTTAAAATGGTATATGGAAATTAATGGGAAATTTTATTCCATAGAATATTCAATCGTTCCTGAAAGCTGGAGTCAGATCGCGGGCCAGTAAATATTTTACACATGAGCTCCATGTAGATTATTCAAATCTGAGTTAAATATGCATACTAATATCTTATTTCTTTTCGATATTTAATCAATTTTTGTCTCATCATAACTGGAATGAAAACATTGATTAATTTATGTTTTAATTAAATTCAGCTTGGTTCATTAAAAATCTTAAAAGAAATTACTACAAATCCACAAATTCGTAAAACTATTAATGATATTGGCGGTCTTCAACCGCTTGTCAATTTGTTACGTAGTCCAAATCGCGATTTAAAATGTTTATGTGCTGAAGTAATAGCAAATGTGGCTAACTGTCATCGAGCAAGACATACGATCAGACGATTCGGTGGAATTAAACGTTTGGTAAGTTGATGTAAACCATTATCAAATGGAATTTTTGTATTCATGGAGTTATCGCATAGCGTTACGTATGCACGTAAACACGTCATTTTGATATGCTTGAACTATTACCAGTTTACCTTAGTCCGAATACGAGAGCGAGGATCGAGGATCCGGTGACACAACATGCTACTCAAATCCGATTATCCCAACCCCAATGAGTAAAAGAAGAAGACTTGATATGAAGTAGAACCTGTATTCTACAAGCATCCAGAAAGTACGAGGTCCGAGTTCAGAAGAGAATCAGGATGCCGGACTAGGGATCCGGGACCGGGTTCTGGTCCTAAAACGTTGGAGATAATGCGTATTTATACATGTAGGTCGAGTAGGAAACAGCGTCGAAGTATGTGACATTGTCAGTTAAGACGACCAATAGGAAACAACATTGGAGTACGTGATATTGATATCTAGTACGATCATAAAATTGACCAGTACGAATTAACCAATAGGAATTGACCAATAATTGTCTTAGAATATTGGATGAATATCCTAACACATAGAAACAGTTCAATGCTCATTGTATTTTAGTTCGCGAAAAATTCAAATAAATAAAATATTAGAACAGAAAAATTATAAAAGAAAACAGATAACCATGACTATCCAATATCTAATGCCAAAATCAATCCTACAATCTTATAAAATAATCCTTTAGGCAGAAAAATGATCACTTTACATGAATGTAGTCTAATTGTAAGATTTTTTCAAGAAAAATAAGATATATCCTTTTCATAATCATAATAATAATAATAATAAATTAGGATAATGACATTAAATTCATAACAGTATTGTGGAATATTTGCGATTTCCCTAACTGAAGAAGGTTTTCATGCTGATTATACAATGAATCAGTAAAAATGTCAAATTATCAATAAATTTTCACTTTAGTTATCCAAAAATACACTCTTCACAAATTTTTACTTCACACTGTTAAAAATGTTAAATATTTAACAGCAATAAAACTTGAATTTATTTTTATTTGATTTTCACACTGATTGTGAGGTCAATTTTGAAATAGGTTATTAGTCCTAATTTGAACAAGAGATAATTTTAGTACGCTAATTCTATGCATATATTCGGATTAACTTGAAGTTCGTAAACAGTGATTTGTTGCATAAGAGTGATTATGTTGCGTGATTAAATGGTTGGTTTAATGACAATGAATGTTTAGGAAGTCTGTTTTTTAATAAAATATCGCATTTAGTATTGTGATACATTCAGTTATAAAGCACTATTTGTATAAGCAGTCTTAAGAATTATTGTACTTTCACAGTAATCATACTTAAACGTGATGATATATCTTACATGATATTTTGCTAGTTATTGATTTATATGCATAATTCTGCTTACATTCAGGTTGCTTTACTTGATTGTCCAAGTTTAACTGGTACATCAATGACTAGTGAAGTTGAAAAAGATATTGAATTAGCCCGATGTGGTGCATTAGCTTTGTGGTCATGTAGTAAATCTAAAAAGAATAAATTAGCTATGGAATCTGCAGGTGTCATATCATTATTAGTGCGTTTATTAAAATCTCCACATGATAGTATGGTAATTCCAGTTGTGGGAACATTGCAAGAATGTGCATCTGAAGTAAGTTATTTACTGCCTAAATTTTCATAATTTCAAGAAAATGAAATCTTTTATATGATAGAGAAATATTCCTGCCTGTCTCTGTGATGTTTCATTCAAGTCAAGAATTTAAAACTAACTAGCTTTCTAAGATAGCTGATCAAAGCTGAGCTTGTTTGAACCTTTTCGCTGTCTAATCTAAAATAAATAACCAACTAATGAAAACCAGAAATCAATAATAAATTCACGTGAACTAATTAAAGATACGAAATGACGAATAATACTTAACAAACTTAGGGTTGAAATAAGTTAAATTTTGCTGTCAATTAAAATAAAACTATGGCCGTCATTCTGGTTCAATTGATCTACAAAAAGTTGCAATCCTTGTAAATTCCATGGACTATCAGGTCATCAAGACTGATGAGACTACCAAGATAAGTGAAGCAGTCAACACGCTCAACTAATTCACTTTCTATCACTAATTCAGGTTCCAATGCAAGCCAATACTGAAGCAGCATTTTACATTTCGAGGAGGATAATCGCATCCTGAACATACATTGTTGCTTGGGGTGGTCAGAAGACTCTGCACTTTGTCAGCGTCTTCACGAAACAGTACTATATCATCAGCATATTCTAAGTCAACAAATGAATCTTCCTGTAAAAGTTCAGCTGGAGAGTCAGACGATGAAAGTGTTGTCTCCGGAAGCATGTCAGTAACATAGTTGAATAGAAATGGAGAAAGTGGATAACGCTGACGAACAACACTTGATGTCATCGATTCGGATGATAGTTCGCTATAAGCTCTGACTGGACCAGTAGTGTTCGAGTAGAGAGCCTGTATGACGTCAGCGTATTTTTGCGGTGTTACTTTCTATGACAGACACTGACAAAGAACTTCATAATCAACAGAGTCAAACGCCACCTTAAGATCAAGTAATACAAGTATATATATATATATATATATATATATAGTACATATCATATACAATGTATGATATATATAATAGTGTGGGTAGCCGACGTGTGGCTGAATGCCGCTTGAACTTCTCCCTAAAGTGTTCTTCCCATCTATCCTATCTCCTGAATTGAGAATAATAGTTAGGTCTTTTTCCGAGAGTTTCGCAAACTCAGACTCTGCAGCCTGAGTCTAATTATGTGCTCCAGAATGAGAGCATACGAAGTGATGTATGTATGCATCAAGTTCCATGTTGCAACTAACTGGCTAATTGACTGGACAGTGATTAATTTCATTATTCTATTCGTCACATATATGTAATTCGTTGAACTTCACTGATCACGATTGTAACTAAACAATCTTCACAACCCCGTAATGCAATTACCTGTGCTCACTAGAGACTAATGCCAATGTTTGGCTTGATTTATTCTCTAAAGAAGTAGCTTACACTAAGTCACGTAATGTCAGAGAAATTTTAACTTTTCTATACATTAGGATACTATAATTTTATTGTTAAAAAATTCTTTCTTAAAAAATAGGAAAGTTATCGTGTTGCAATTCGTACAGAAGGTATGATTGGAGATTTGGTGGAAAATTTAAAACGTGACAATGATGAACTTCAAAAGCATTGTGCTTCAACTATATTTAGAGTAAATTTATTATTTCATAATTATTTGGTTTGATATATCTTTTATATCCTTTTGTCTTGAATTCATTGAAAGTTTGAAATACAAAATATGATTTGGTCGTGCCACGTATTCATCAAAACATTGAATTATCCAAACATCCGAAAAGTCATAGATAAGTCTGGATTGTATACTCGTTTCTAGCATGTTTTTTTTTCAGCTATGTATCATAAGAAATTCTCTTAAATTAATTACTTGTCTCGAAGTTGCACAGAACAATGGATTATATACAATAAGTCAACTATCTAGATATTATACCGTATAGGCGTATACATAGAAAAACACTGGGTTAACATGTTTTAGTCAGCAGAATTGTCAAGAGAAGGTTCATTCTGACAAGACGTTTTTTAAGGTATCTGAATACTTTGAGCAAACTAAAAGTGTATTTTCAAAGATATGGTTTATGATCTATTTGGCCACAAGTAAGCTTGATCAAGTGTAAGCGCCTTTTGTTTACTCAATTACAGATCATTATATTTTTCTTACATACTCAAGGTGATTTCAAAACATAACTCGGCAATCATACAGCTCTATTATTACTCATTAGTATTTATTGAGATCATTGATGATTAACATCAGTTATATGAATAGTGATAACCAGAGTGACCTAAAATCCTACTTATTTTAAGTTTAAAACATATTAAATCTCTATTGTCTCATTTACGACAAGATCACAGCTTCCACATTCATTTTTAATTTAAATGCTACAATTATATATCTTTTTAATACATCTCGTCAATAACAGATTGTCAATTTTATGGTCAATCAGAGTTAGACATTAACACCGTTAAATACCGGCTAAGTGATTCAGAGGTTAGGCGTTCTCACGCAAGACCAAAGGTCCTTGATTTGAGTCCTGCGAGGTGCAGGAGTCGAGGATGCGCACTGCTTATGAGTCCCACACCAGGACGAAAAAGGCCGTCCTATGCTTCCATGTTTCTAATGGTGGTCAAACAATGATTGATAGATGATTTCAAACGTGTAAAAACAATTATCTCCATAACTCTAATTCATAACTATTCTTTGATGGTCTTAAACAGTGTGCAGAAGACCCCGAAACACGTGATCTTGTGCGTACACATAATGGTTTAGAACCAATGGTATCACTGTTAAGTAAACAATCTAATAAAGAATTATTAGCGGCTGTCACCGGTGCTATTTGGAAATGTGCAGTTTCAAAAGAAAATGTGGAACAATTTCGAAAACTTGGAACAGTTGAACAGCTAGTTGGTTTATTACAAGATCAACCAGAAGAAGTAAGTTATATTACGTTAGAAACATTTGCTAGTACATACAATTATCATTTATCATATGTAATTATGAGTTTTAAAATAGTAGGAATCACATTATTACGTAACTTAATACACAAACTCTCAAACTCAGCGTACGGATATGATTTCAAGAGGAAATACAAAAAATGAATAATCGTGATAGTGATATAATCTAGACTATACCACAAAGCCATAAAATATGAATGACCATAATAAAAGTTACGTAAAGTCAAACGTATGAGCTAAAAAACGGAAAGAATATAAAATTAATAAATTAGCAATAAGCGAAGTTAATTTCAATAAAATTGAAAGTTGAAATCACTGGTTGATCTTAGATCGATCACCATTGAAAAACTGAAAGCACTGCCATGCTAGTTCGTCCTACCCAGTATCGATTTGTGATTTCAACAGTAAAAAATGATACACTCTCTACAAATCCTCTTGAATAATAAAAATGAAAGTACAAGCAATGAAATCAATATTTATAATAGGAACAGATCAAGTATCACGCAAGGTAAAAGATAAAATATCTCTCATACACTTGGTCACGTTGATCAATTTTGTAAATTGTTGTAGAAAAAGAAATTGTGAATAATTTTAATGAATTCTACAGGCAATTCTAAAATTAGTTTGTCAATAAATTACATGATCAAATATTATGTATATATTTGACAAAATCACTCTTATTAATAATGTTGACATTCTAGTGCTTATTATTGAGTTTCATGAAAATAATTTAATTTTGGTAAATTATGATATATATATATATAGGATTTATAAATTTTGACTGAGACTGATAACTTAATAAAAATACTGATATTTCATTTACAAAAATGTCTTTTTATTGTCATATAAACGGTTTCCACCAGTATGTAATGTAAGGTATGGAAAAGTATGCACCTATAGTCAATGGCATCCGTTCACCTTTGAGTAGTAACCGATATCATAGTGTCATGTCTTGAACATTCATCGAACTTTGGGGATCAAGTTAGAATTTAATAATTATTCAAAGTGATTTGACAATATTAGCATACCTTCCTGATTGATATAGGGTGATCAGAAATAGTTGGTAGGAATTATCTAATATAGATTTCGTGCTAGTTCGTAATTGCCGACTAGGTGCATCTCCACTCTTTGTCAGAATAATGAACTTCGTTACATCCAGTACTTAACTTCATCGTTGAACAAGTCAATCAAATGATATAGCTATAAATTTGATAACATGAAATCGGTTCGAAATAACTAGAATATTAAATGGCTTAGTTATGTGTGAAAATAAAGTTCAGACATCAAAATAGCCAAATGCAATATGAATCTGATTGTAATTTAGATTACTTAATGATACTATGAAACATAACACTCATGTGAACAATTAATCACTTGAAACTATTCATCGAAACAAACGTAGTTAGATTAATTCAACAATTAATTTTCTAGAAGAAAAATAAAAAACAATAATTCACTTAGAATGGAATTTTAAACAATAAGGTTGATAGTATTGACTGCTAGACATTTTTATTACAATATCTAACAGTACTATAGTTCGCTGACTTTAATGATTTCTGTTACATAGCAATAATGAGTATAGAAATGAGCATATCAAGAGTTTCGTTTTTCACCTTATCTAAAATAATTATTGGATAGACAAAGAGACATTTTTTACTTTTACTTGAATAACATAATCATATAATAAGTGTTCCAGTGTAGTAAATAAATCTGTTGACATTTTATCTCAATATACGCATGACAGAAGTAATAACAAAAGTTCAGTTTCTTTGAAATCATGAATCGATCATTGTTAGACCAATATTAAAAACCTCGAAGCATTGGACGTCCGAGTATGGGATTCATCAGTAGCGTGCATCCACGATTTCAGTGAATCAATAATTTTCACATTCCTCTAATGAAAATCATAAAAAGTGCTCCCTGATGACTAGCTTCGTGAGGAACTTGCGACGAGCGGAGTTCAAACTTGTCGGGTGTAGCCATGTAACGCATGCAACGTAAACGTCATTTGAGATGCTTGAACTATTACGAGTTTACCTTAGTTGGAATACGAGAGCGAGGATAGAGGATCTGGTGACACAACATGCTATTCGAATCCGATTATCCCGACCCCACTGAGTAAAAGAAGAAGACTTGATATGAAGTAGAACCTGTATTCTACAAGCATCCAGAAAGTACGAGGTCCGAGTCCAGAAGAGAATCAGGATCCCGGACTAGGGATCCGGGACCGGGTTCTGGTCCTAAAACGTTATAAATAATGCGTATTTATACATGTAGGTCGAGTAGGAAACAGTGTCGAAGTCTGTGACATTGACAGTTAAGACGACCAATAGGAAACAACATTGGAGCACGTGATATTGATTTCTAGGACGACCATAAAATTGACCAGTACGAATTAACCAATGGGAACTGACCAATAATTCTCTTAGGATATTAGATGAATATCCTAACAAGGCAGTTACCCACCGAAGACAATGTGTGAAGCTGCTGAATACCTTGGATCGAGTAAAGCTAGACAATAACACCATTAGGTGCCGGGTCATTGGTCTGAAGGTAAGGTGTTTGAGCGCGAGACGGCAGGTCCTCGGTTCGATTCCCGCCAGTGGGGTTGATGGATGCGCACTGCTGAAGTGTCCCATACGAGGACAAAACGGCCGACCAGTGTTTCTAGGTCCCTAATGGTGGTCTAACAATCATCATGAAAATAATTTAATTATTTGGTATTTAAATCTTTTGCAAATAAATCAAATCTATAGTTGATTTCATTCATGAATAAAGACCAATTTTTATGTTTGTCTAACAAATTCTTTTTAAGTGCTAATCAAATTTGGTCGATCTAGTTGTAACATGTTCGTTAGTCTAAATGATTTAAATTCATAGATACTAAACTGAAATTCGTTTACAGATAGGACTTTTTCGGATCGATTTGATTTTTTCCTGAATTTCAAGCATGAAAACATTTTCTGAGTAGGCTTAACATTATCAGTAAGACAAATAAACTCTGCTTCAAATAATCCAAAATCTTGTATTAACAACTTGTTTTGGGACGGGAGAAGAAAAATGTTGTTATCTAACAGTCTAGAGATTTAATATACGAAATTTTTTTGTGAAAAATGCTAATGCACAGTTATTTTTTTCGAATCAACCAACTGTCTGCTCTCTACAAAAACTGTAATTTCCGAACTTTTGTCATTTGGCTTTTTTAAATTGTTTTAATCAACATCACATGTATCCGTTATTCATCGGCTTAACTAACGGGTGATTTGAAGAAATGTGTTATTTTCATGCAGTAAACTACTTATGTGACTCTAATGCACAACATCCGGGATTTCACACATTTCTGTTGAATAATTTCATTCAGTTAGTAGTTTAATTATTAGTTTGGCCTTTATAGTTTCAGTATACACTCAACAATGTTATGGGACAAACTGATTGTTAATGTAAGTAAGGACACAGATTACACTAATAAAAATAAAAATAATTGGAATTAAGATTATTCTTTAAGTCATTTTTATAAAACAAGTTTGTTAATTAACTTAATTATTTTGTCCTATTATACGATTTATGAGCAAATTTCTTTTTTTTTCATTTCGTACAATATGATAACTTTGATTATCTATATCATTTCCGGTTGTTTGGTTTGGCGAATCTCGTGTTAGGTTATTTATAATCTAGGAAAATTTTCATCAGTGTTTAGCACTAATCTAATAACCATTGAAAATCATCAAATACTGAAGCACTGTGCCAAACTAATGTTGAAGCAATCATTACATACTCATGAATCACTTTCTCAGTAATAGATTTCACCGAGTTGTGTGGTATGAATCTTCACTATACTGAGTTATTTAATTAAGAACTGTAATGAGTGATCATTAATGGCATGTCCTTTGAGGCTATAACACGAGGATAGTTAGATTTTAACAAAGTGATTGAGTTGTACTATGTACGCTAGGAAACTCAAATTACCCTAGTTGAATTTTCTGTTAAATGATCAGAGCAAGTTACTATGCCTCCTCCTTGCATTAATTTTCATTCGAATATAGAAGTGTTACTATTTCTTATGTGTTACAGAGCGGAAAATATACAAATCGATAAAAAGTATTCATAATGAAATGATTAGATCTCCGTAAACGTATTGTTCTTTTTAAAATGGCGGAATAGGAATTGAAATTTAAAATTCTTTTCATGTGTAACAGATGATGTATTTTATTGTATCGTATAACCTTAAGGGAAAATCCAATTTACATCAGATGTTTGTATAAACTCATGTTGTATACAAAATATCTATTATCGTTTTTTTTTCAAGAAGCAACGTTAACATCCATTATTGAACATCTGTAGATTATTTATTCAAAAAATAATCTAGGCGGGAATTTAAAATGAAAGATCACAATTTCTTTGCCTGAATTTTCTGAAAACATTAATCATAAAAACGTCTGGCTTTTGTAAACTGTAGTTCGCTTTCGCTGACTTTTCCTTGAAGATTGTTACGCAAAAGTGTCAATTTTGGATCAAAGGTAACATATAGGACAGAATTGGTATTTTTATTTATAGTTTGTGATTCGTTTAGGGTACTCCTTCACTAATGATTCCAAATACTACTGAATGGAAAAGGTTCAGGTACACGATAAACAATGGTAACTTTAGATGACTGAGTTGAAACCCATTTTTTCACATCCATACCCTAATGCTGTTGTTTTACTCTCTAACTGACTAACTATACAAGTGAAGGCTTCTCACTTAAGCTTCTGAGGATCCATTTCACCATAATAGATGGTGGTCATCTGTGGAGAATGTCAAGCTGGGACAAAACAGTCATTCAATCCTCTAGAGTTTTTAGTAGTATGATATTCATTCATAATTACATTTACGTTCCAAATAAACACCAGCATGAAACTAACAGAAATCATTTAAAAGTTTCTGAAAATTTATTGTTTAAGTAATCGTTCAGGAGAAAATACTGAGATATTTACCGAACACTTTCATTTTTATCAGTATGTATTTAACATCTTTAAAAATTTTATTTATTCATTTCCAAGTTTTATTAAAAGCTAACTTCAAAACACAGAAGTTATTGTTGTATGAAAGAAAATTGAATTGTTAATTCAAATGATGTGCCAAAGTTGTTATACAGAAAATGAAAAAAATATTTCAGCTCAATTGATTGTAGGATATCATCAAAAGACAACTTTTTTCAATGAGTCAGATTTATTTTCATTGAATATTTCTTTCTTATTATTTTTGTTTATGTGACATGACTTATAAAGTCTTGTTGACATAACTTTGAAATTCAGATGACAAGGTGGTTTACTGAAAGGAATCATTGATTTTAAAAAGCAACCAATAGAAGGAAAAGGGTACTTTATAAAGGGTTTGTAATTGTCCATCCATTTAAAAAAAAAGATAATACTTTTATGGATAATATTCTGGTTTTGAAAAAGGCTCTAGTATAAGCCAATAAAAGTATGCAAGATTTCAAGTTTCTGATAGTCTAGACAGTTAAGCTTAGTGTTCTTTTAATTACTAACAATTTCACCAATAACAACATAATTAATATTTTCTTTGTGAATAAAATGCAACTAATCGATTTCTAAGGACATTTTAATAACGACAGTTATTATCTTATGTAGTGGAGGATTGTAAACTAAATCAAAAAATTAAAACATTTTAAGTGTAATACTGTGTTATGTTATTTAATAATGAATCCATTAGTACTTGTTTGAAAATTGACTTTACATTTACTTGTAGGTTTATTGTTAATTTGCATTTTAGTTTACTAGCCGTGAGTAAAATAAACCGCCGGACGTGTACTTTTAAATAAACCTCTTAAACAATATAGATTAAGTAGAACAAACCAAAGTTTTGACTAAAAAATCTATCGTTACAATGTAGTGTATCTTACAAGTGTGTGTAGTTTTCCTATGATTTATGCATCTTTCAAGGTTAGCAAATGGTTGTTTTAATAGAAAACATTGTATGACAAGCAAATTTATACACATTACTGTTGTTCTGAATTCACTTGCTCACTGAACCTCTGATAATGTCGTTAATAGTTCCCAAAATGAAATCAGACAATGACAAACCCAACTTTACACATATACGAAGGAAAATTATGGTTCTATGATTGCTATTGAATTCGGTGTAGCAACCACTCTCTTATTATGAAACAAAATTATTGATAAAATCTTTCCATGTTATTCTTCTGTTAGCTCTTATCCACCGTAAAGCTGTTATGTAATTGATAGGTTTATTTTGATAGTACACTGATCAAGGAGTTTGACTTTTTTGGCAACCCAAAGTATTAAAGAAGAAATGAGTGGTTTGTTTTCAAGTACCCATGATCTATTTCGATTTTCTTTTTGAATGAGAATATATTTTTGCATACTTTGGGAAATTTCATACATCTTTTGTCATGCTTCAAATTGTTACCTAAACTTTCGACGGCACTTTATACAAAATGAATAGTGCATCGTTTGTAATGGTAATGATTTATGGGAATAAAAGATTTGTTACCGCAATATAGCTGGAACAAAAATATTCTATTTCACTTAGAATCACATCAAATGTATCTTCAATTAGTATGAAACCAATTGAGAAAGAAAGAATTTTGTTGTTTCGATTCATTTAATACCAATAATGATTAACATGTTTCCTTCTGGAACATTGAGAGAAAGCAGATGATATGAAAGCGGTCTTCATCTTAACTATCGTGACAGGTGTGTAACTGCGAGAACAGAACAAGAAAGTGATCCGTTTAGGTGTAAATGTATCATACATTGATAGGTAATAAGAAAATGTCTTTGAGACTTGTATACCACTATGCATTCAATGGATATGTAAATATTTTACAATAAACTAATCTAGGAAAGGTACCCTCGTTGTCATTACACATTTCACGGTTTACTATCTCTTTTCGAATCAAAAAGCCAAAAAATACTTGGTTTAAAAACTAACTGACCAGCTCCTGTCTAATCTTTTATGAGGTTATTTATATATTTCATTATCTTCACGCACGTGCTAAGTGGCCACTCTCCGCAAAAGACATTATAAAGCAAAGATTTAGTGATAATATTATCTAAAATCGGTTTATTATCTGTACACCACATAAATGTCAATGCATGACTTCAGCATAATTTTAATGTCAGTTAACTTTAAATGAACAGTGAAAAACACTAGTGTACATTGAATACCGAAATTAATGCATACAAAATCAGAAAAAGTCATAATCTTCAACGTATTTAAACATATACAATGTGCTTCTACTCCAATAGGGAATGATGGACTCATTATTTTTGATCGTTTAGAAATCTATTAAATATTCCTTTTTAAGTTTTGAATTTTAAATGTCAAAATCTAAAATTCTCTTTCTCAAATGTGATTAATTTGGTAGTAGTATGTTCAATTGTGAAGTTTCTTTACTCCCTACCAAAAGTCATTTGTGAATGCATTATGCATATGATTGAATAATAGATATTTGTAATACATAATGATGTAATTTATTCTGAATCATTTCTTCTGTTTTAGGTTTTAGTAAATGTTGTCGGTGCACTTAGTGAAATGGCAAAAGATCCAAGAAATAGTAGTACAATACGCAAATCTGGCGGGATTCCGCCATTAGTTGAACTACTCACACGAACAAATCAAGAACTGCTTACGAATACAACTAAAGCTGTTGGAAAATGCGCAGAAGAACTTGAAAGTATGAGGTAAGACGAAACGTTCTACATTGCTTTATTTATGATTACTTAGAAGTTGAAATTTTATCTTACAGAATGGTTATTCATTCAAATATGTGATACAATAACTAAGCTACCACGGTATCACAAAGTATTTTCCGTCCGTTATCTAATGGTTGAGTCAATGTGGCCCTGCTGATGTCTTATCTCTTCAAATTACGGTTTCATGACATGGAAGTAATATGATCAACTCTTACTCGACGGCGTTAAATTTACTTACACCTGTTACTTGTGAAATATTGACCGACGAACAGGATTTTTTAACCAGCTCTACATATCCTTATGTCGCATGTCTCCAATTTTCAGCGCAGTGTTCCTTAGTCTTTTTCTTTATTTCTTTCCTTGATGTTTTGAAGTTAGGGCTTACGTTCTGACGCTGTTTTAGGGATTTCCGTAATTTACAACTCAGCTGTAAACTGGTTTATTTTCTGTCACAATATATAGCTACTTACGATGTCTGCCCAATGTATCTGAAGTATCAAGTGTTTGTAAATAACTTTGTCTCATCGTTGATGGTTACACATGATGAGTAAATTTGATCATTATATATACTAAATTGTTTCTGTACACATAAGGGGGGTTTTAATTTTCTAATAGCCAAGGCCTCTGCAAACCTCATCATTCGTCCTTCAACATTTCCATACAATGTTTTAAAGGCTATCTTTATGTCAATCTTAATGACAACGATCATCACAATGAATGTTAAGTACAGGATGATTTGAGGTTTATGGAGGCTTTGCCTATTCGAAAATTAAAACCCCGCTTATATGTACAGAAACAATTTGTTATAACCTTGAATCGGACATTGCAGTCAAGGATTATGAAACATGTACCTAAATGGCTTCAAAATCAGTTAACGTTAGATGAGCCGATCAACATGGGAAATAAAAAACCATGTTCATCGATCACAAAACACACAACTGAGACCAGCCATAAGATTAACATCAAGACAGCCTTCAAAACACTGTATAGAAATGTTGAAGGATGAATTCTGTTAGGGTTTATGGAGGCCTTGGCCATTATTATATACACTGTAATCAATGTAATTAACCATCATAGAGTTGAACAATAGCAAACTTAATAATTTAAAGTGCTTGCTTTTTTTCACGAACAAAATATCAAATTAATGTAGTTAAACATATTAGAACAGTTGAAAGCAAAAGCAAATCCTCGTAGCTCAATTTAAGTGGATATATGAAATGAGTAGATCTTTTGTTTATCATCACAATAAATATATTTATTGTTTACGGTTGTTATTTGTTATTTAATATTTTGTCACATATTGTTAAGAAATGATGACGATCGGATTCACTAGGTAAAATTTTTACATTATTTATCATTGATATTTGATTCATATAATATTTAGTTTTTATGTAATTATGTAGGAAAAGTATGTATATATATATATATATATACGTTTAATTTATCTGCAAAATCACATCTACGAGTAGTATATACATAAACATATATATGCGCATAATATTTATTGTACATAATATTTGGATTATACATGATGATATTTTTTTGATAATAATAATAATAATCATATACAAATGGAAATTCGACATTTACATTAACTCTCTAAACTTGTACAATTTTGTTTTTATTTTTACGTATATATAAATATACTACTACTACTGATGTTCATGCAGTGATGAGCTCGGCTTGTTTTCCCTCATTTTTTGTCTACATTGATACAAGTATGCAGTAAATTGATGTAGTAATCAATTAGTAGAACTATGCATAGACATGAAATATTTATTTAATGGGCATTAGCACAAAGTAGACAGAAAAAGTATATATATATATATATATATATATATATATATACAATGTGATAAACAGTGCCACAGTGGATTGAGTGAGTTATTCTTTAATATATTGAGAGAAAAAACAGCAATTGTATTACAGATACATTACAACCAATGCGATCAAACTTCTAGTAGGTGGGTAGATTAGATATCTTTGCGTGACAGTTGTTGATGTGACAATCGGTCAGTAGTTGACAGTCTTTCCCGATATTTTGGTGGTAGCTTTGTAGTTTACGTCTCAAATATATTGTTTTGGTAAATGGGGTTTGCTATTGAACGATTCGCAATAATTTTATGTACAGGAAATTTATTTTCTTTAATTGTTTCAGTATTTAATGGCTGTTTTCAAAATGAAACATAATTAATGTGATCGCAAGAGTTAACCGAGGTTATTTCTTTAAAATAAGTATTCATTTAATTTTATAGTTACACTGGCTCTAAATAGCATTTCATTAATTATGCTTAAAATTTTTACACTGACAATAAATACTTACAAATTTTATTGCTGTTGTCAGTTACCTAGTTTATGTTTTCAACTGGATAACTTACTTTTCAAGAAATTATTTTTTTCCCGAATTCCTAGATTCAAATTTTATAGTCATTGAGGTGTTGACTGAGAAATTTCAGATCATTTTCTTCAGTAAGAAACACAAGTTTGCATTTTTTCGTTTATCAGTAAAATCATATTGTAAAGCGGAACGAATTAAAAACAAAGACATGATCTGTATCATCTCTTCACAAGAAAAATTGAAAACGTAGTGCTGACTCATATTTTCTTCATGGACAATTTGATTAAAACGCTTTTGTAGGTCAATTAAAGTGCTGAACAGTATTGAGAGAATACTTTGTTACGTATAGCATAAGAATGACATCAAGACAGCCTTCGAAACATTGTATAGAAATGTTGAAGGACGAATTTTGAGGTTTATGGAGGCCTTGGCTATTCGAAAATTAAATCCTCCCCCTATGTGTGCAGAAACAATTTGTCATAACCTTGAATTGACCCTGGTAATCTTTAAGCCTAGGGTAATGTGACAGTTTTCCTATCCTTTCTTATCCTTCTCATATCAAGTTAATTTTCTCTCTCCTTTATTTACAATTATCACCTTATGTCTATTTGAACTTTTATTTAATTGACCTTTTATTAATCTTCATTTAAAATGCCTTGACAAGTAAATGTGTGGCTAGATTGTTCGAAATGTGTTAAGCGCAAATACATCACATTGTTCAGATCAATTACGTCTTCTCACTGTTCTATCGAAAAAAAGACAAAAATAAGCCAGATATGTGAAGTAAGCGACTCACACACTAATGAAAACAACCAAGGTTATAAGCGAATAAGGAACAAGGTCAAAACATGTGTGAATAATTGATTGAGAAGAATGAATTGATTAGCTTGTCTTATGGCTCGGAACAAGCGATGTGGGTTCGAGTACACACTGCAGGGTCTACAGGGAGTAAAGTTTTTGACAAAATCAATGGAAAACTGCGTAATTATTTAAGAAAATTTAAAAATTTATAATGTCCCCAAAAGAATTTTTATCAGTAATGATTCAGGCAAGCATTCTATAAACACAAACTACTCATTTTCATGTTACTACTGAAAAGTTTTTATCATCATTATAATATCAAAACAATTTTAGAAATTATTTGAAAACTTTCCTTAAGGTTTTATTCACCAAAAGAAGGTATGTTTTGTAGGTGTTCAAACCTGAAAAATGATTTTCACACTGATTTTTTTAAACTTCCCATGAGTTAACTATATATCGCTGCATTATCAATATTATATGTTATATGACGATGAATTGTTTATAATTTATGTTCTGTTCTTGTAGTATCATTGAAAATTTGGACGGTGTACGTTTACTTTGGTCTTTGTTAAAGAATCCTAATCCAAGCGTACAAACCAATGCTGCTTGGGCTTTATGTCCATGCATTCAGAATGCAAAGGTTTGCTTTGTTATTATCATCAGTGTTAACAAAAATTATCAAATTAGTTTGGTCATCTAATTTTACAAACTGAAGCATTTTCTAAATTATCAACTGAAACGGAACCGAAGACTGCGATCCAATGTTCTTTAGCAGTTATTATTCCTAGTCACTTCTGAGACTGGTCTCAGGGGATTCATTTATTCCATTTGGGGTTTGGTTACCAATAATGATAAATGTCTTTTTTAATATTCTAAGTACATCTGTAAGATTAATTTCTCTACCAACCTTAATGCCGTACTTTCACAATGTTATCATTCCCATTTTATAATATCAGCTTCACAAATTGTAAAATACTTTTATACTCAAGCGTTTGGGCAATTATGGGGTTCTGAAAATTACTAATATAAAAAATTCCTTAACTTATTTGCGGATAACTTGGTGAATTTCAATCCAAAACACAATCTCGATCGTTTTCCGTTAATCAATAAACACAGTTATATATATCGTCCTTGTCGACGATGCTCTCTTAATTGTTTTAGATAATTGAACAGCCCCCTGAAGTTTGACAAAACCTAGTTTTCACAAATTAAGTTCAAGCTTTACACCAAGAAAATGTTGACAAGCCTTTAAAATCATCAATTCATGTAAATTTTTCATTGACATAGAATGTAACCAATATACTGGAGAAGATGCAAATGAAATACGAAAAATGACCATTCTCTCTTTGATCATTTTTGTGCCCTATTCATCGTTGTTCAGCTTTCTCACCAACTCAGTATTTCATGCTCTCTCCGATTCACTGTTTGGTTGATAAAACTCGTGCCCTTAATCTCAGTCGATGAAAATGCATTTCTCTTCCATATTACTTTAAAAGATTTAATGCAGATATGTCCAGTTTTGAATTCAGTAGACAAAATATATTCTAACTAAGTATGGGTTGTAAAGTAGCAGTAAATAAAGTTCATTACTTGCATGCGCATGAATACTGTCAAAGATTTTCACCACTGATGGATCCTCAACAGATTTTAACAACAGTTTGAGATATGTACAATATTTTGCTATTTCGGGCGCTAATGTTATTGGGATTTAACTTTAAAATTATTAACCGCTCTACTGAAGACTATGAAGAACTAAATTCGTTGTCGAAATTTACTAGTAAATATTCTTCCCCAGTTAAGAATGATTTATTACTGTGTACTATCTGTCGATTGCCACCATGACACTGCTAATAAGTGCTTGGTCTATCGACTTAGTATGACATCGAGAGCCCACATTTTGAAGAACAATAAAGTTGATCACAATCCGATTGATGAAGAATTTAGTCGATGGTAAAATGTAATACCTTTTTCGTCTTCAAGAGGTTTTCTGCGTTTTGGATAAGTGTTTCGCTCTTGAAAAACCCATTTTAGTTTCACAGTGTTATTGCGCTTAGCATGTTTGTCAGTCTTTCAACGACCGTCCAAGAATAAATCTTACAAATTCCATCGCCTTGAATTCCAGTCAGTCAACCATTACTGTTAGCGTACCCAAGCAACTAGGCTTAGTAAAAAATTTTTTTAACGAAGCCACATCTAAATATCCCTTAATATGAAATTAGTATAAACTTGGGTTAATCCGAATTCCTGTGTACGTAATTCCTGGTGACATATTTTCAAAAGGTGTCAAATCATCCCACAGTAGATATTTTAGAAAATATAGCTATATGTGTGAGTATTCTGCAGATATGTTTAATTGGATACAAGATTTGTGCCCTTTTCTATTATCTCATGTACAAGTGATCACGCCTTGTGTCACACAAACAAATGGCTTGACAGAACATTTTGCTAACGTTTATTAGAGATTTTTATCTTATTCATTCCATGGTTTTGCTCATTATGGTTTCTGATGCAATATAATCAAAACATTGTCAGTTTTAAATTAGATAAACAACAGACTCATATTTCAAGCTGTTAAAGAATACTGTACGGTTTCATTTATCAGTAAAGAGGTTGGTAAAAATCATTAAATGTTCTTATTAAAACACAACTAAGTAAAACATCTAGTGAAAACCAGAATACACTGGAAAGTTGTTACACCATAGCATGAAACTTTTTAACAATTATACATCTACAATCTTATCGGGGGACGAATGTTAGGACATAAAATGATCTAAGTGAAATTTTTGGCCTGGGATTGGAATACAGATTTCTTTGTCCGTATTAAATTCTTGTGATCAATTTATAAAAAACTACAATCAATAAACAATAATGCATTTTACCACAAATATCAAAATATCGGGTTCGTCTTCTTAGTTAGTGCTCACACATTCAGACATTACATTTCGTCAAATAAGAAAATCTAACATTATTCTATGGAAAAGTATTCGGTATCAATATCTATTGACAACTAAATTCATTAATTGTCAGTCGGAGCAAAAATTTAGATACATATAAAATGTTTATGCCATTAGAACTCATGATTATTACGCTACCAAGAATTGCATATTTTTGTTTACGAAACTTCAATTTGTTTTCCGTCTGTGGTAGAATAAATAAATAAGTGATACTGAGATAACTTTTATATAATTGTAAACATAAATAAACGGAATCCATGTTTATCTCCCACTTTGATCAGGAAAAGTAAAATCATGAGATAGTGATAAGACAACCATGTAATAATGATCCAAACATGTGAACTATTTCACCTCTAACTAGAATTTGACAAAGAACTATTTTATTTACTCCGATATTCTTTTAATAATGGATATTGGTTTCCGTTGTTGTGCACAATTCTGAGGAATGTTCAATCAGCGTTCAAGTATTCCAAGTCTTGATGTACTTTTGTAGTGATTTTCTCACAGCCTCTCTCTCTCTCTCTCTCTCTCTCTCTATATATATATATATATATATATATATATATATATATATATATATATGTATATATATATATATATATATATGTTAATATCTATAAAAATTTATGAAACAAAACTATTCAATAACTTTTCGTTATTCTTCGTTTTTACTATTACAGGATGCTGGTGAACTAGTACGTTCATTTGTTGGTGGTCTTGAATTAATTGTGAGTTTGTTAAATTCAAAGGATGCAGAGGTTTTAGCAGCTGTTTGTGCGGCTGTTTCGAAAATTGCCGAGGATGAAGAAAATCTTGCTGTGATTACCGATCATGGTGTAGTCTCACTGTTATCACGTTTGACAAATACGGTAATAAATTGTTTGATGCTTTTTTTTCACCGATAATTATAAGTAATAACTAGAATAAATATGAACGAAGTAGCTATGAATCATTTATATTAGCATGTCATTCCAATAACTGAATTTGATTTGTATGGTATGAAAACCTCTTCACCTGATATACAATAAGTGATATTCATGGTTTAAGGTATTTATGTGATGTTGGTTATAGTTTAATTCAACATTGAAACATATAATTGTACCTATGAAAGAAGGTCACAGAAGTGGCTGAAAAAAAAATCAAATAGTAAATAGACAAATTGAACCTTTCTATTTCATTTACTGAGGTTTTTACAAATTGAGATGGTGGAGAACATTTATAGCTCAGGTGGACGATTGTTGTGGTGTTTCGTTCTCTGAACCAGATGTTCTAGTGAGAACATTGAAGGTCAAGGTAGAGAAGAGTTCCATGGGAACAGTAGTTGACTATGGGTCAGGCGATCCTAAGTGATTCAGTAAATCGGAACAGAGAGGGGTTGCCTGATGTTGTCCAATCTCGGGCTTCGTTCAGTATTCTGCAAAGTACTGTCGTACTTCAGCCCCCTGTAGCGAAAGGGAATCGGGTGAATATTACCGACCCTGTTCACGGAGTTTTTACAAATATATGTAAGATGGACACTGACTAAAGTAAAAGATATTTACAGCCCTTCTCATTCCATCCTGAGTTTTTCCGGCTATCTGCAACAGTTTCTGATCATCACCTTTACAAATTGATCTAAAACTAGTAATCCAGTAAACTAAATATAAATACTGAATGAATATTAATAAATATTCATTGTAAATAACAGTTTTCACTTATATATGTTTCCGATTTGGCTAAATTCTTAAATGGCCGAATCATAGACACAAATTGTTTGCTGAGCAATTAACTAATAGAATTTACTTACAACTCTTCGGCTGTTAAGCCTCCTTCACTTCAAAAGTGTATCCGCTTTAGAAAACCGGTATATGTTTTTCTTCAAATGGATGTGAAGAAAACGTTCTTATGCTTACTCCGAAATACAGCAACACAGATAACTAAAATGTAGTCAGAATATGGTGTTCCATAACTTTCCATAAAGTTATTTAGTGAAAGTAAATATTTACTATATTTTTGATCATCTTTAATACAAGAATCTAGGAAGCGGATTTTCTTTCATTTGATATGCGTCACTTACATTCCGTGTTCCTATATTCAACTAAAACAAGTCCTAGTGCCTACTATTTCGAATACCAGGTCGTACGTTGTCCTTTTAAATCATTAAAGTACATTTGATTCCACTAGTTTAGTAGTTAGTTAGTTGAAATCCGATTTTCACTTATTTCCTAGTTTTTGTTTCAAACAAACAAAGGTAAGGCCAAAACAAGCATAATTATCTACTTGTGAAACCGGTACACCAGATTTATTTCATAAAAATCATCTTGAATTTTTTTTAAAATCATTTATGTGCTGTGGAAATCGATGTTAATGTAACGAAGCTGAAAACAATCTATCCTAATATTGCTGCTAAAAAGTTACATTCGTTTTAAAAGAAACACTGATCGACTGTCTTCATGATATATCATATAATTATATTTTATCATTATGAATATACGTGATCTTAAAGTAGCATTTGTTATTTTGGTTATAACCGATAAACAGTGACAAATTAGGATGTTTACGTTAAGACTCTGCGAAGTAATTAAAAACTTATTAGTGGTAAATGTTGAACAAGCCAGTATGATTGAAGTTTAATCTAACAGAAATGAATTTCTCTGTTTTTAAATATATTAACTTTAACTGAGAGATCAGCGGAGATAGAAACATTGTTAATGTCTTTATAAGCATTCGAACTATTATTAGTGATCTGCTCGTCGACTGATATGCTTGGATGCAATTACGAGTTCATCTTACTTGGTAAACGGAACGAAGGTCAACGATACAGTGACACGATAGGCTATTCCAATCCATTGTCCTAATCCCCGCTAACAAAAGCAAGAAGTCTTGATAAGGAGTAGAGTGTATTCTACAAGTACCCAGAAAATGTGAGGTATCTAAGCATACAAATCAAGCTTATTTATACAATCATAGAAACGCCTTGGGAGAGCCACAAAATAGCGTACTAAAATAATCCATCGACTGATGATGGTCAAGGATTTTCCAAGGGGGAAGGTCAACTGGCGCGAAGACATGGAAATTCAAAATTTCAAAATTAGGACCTTTCCAAGTGAGTTCTAGGAATCTAACGTCCCCAACAAATAGACAAAAACCTTTTACTTTTCTATAGTAAGACATATCCTATAGATAATCTTTCACACTAAACAGCTCTGATACCATTTTTCATAAATTCCATGCAACTGTCTAATGTCCAAATTTACAGAAATGTTAAACACTTTGTGAATCGATTTGGGTTTATTTTGTAATGATAGTCGTAGTTAGTGAAACTAACTAACAACTGCTTTCTCTTCTAATTTCAAAATAACTTTGAAAAATGTTATTGACGTAGTTTGAAATCGACAAAACTTATAATTTTCATTTGATCATTTGTTTACAGTAAAAAACCTGTAACTACTCTTCCATATTTACCTGTTTCAAAACATTATTTCTCACTTATCATACTTTGTTCATTAATTTTTTAATTGATTTAACAGAAAGATGACCACCTTCGACGTCCACTAACCGATGCTATAGCAAAATGTTGTACATGGGGAACTAATCGTATCGATTTCGGCCGTGCAGGAGCTGTTGTACCCATTGTTCGTTATCTGAAATCATCAGATCCAAATGTTCACAGATCAACTGCTAAAGCATTATTTCAATTGAGTCGTGATCCGAATAATTGTATTTCAATGCATCGAGTCGGTGTGGTAAAGTTATTATTAAAAATGGTTGGTTCCTCAGTAAGTACTACAAACGTTTTAAAGGTCAATCTCATTTTTGGTTTAATAACATAAAAGAGATTATAAAATTCTTTTTTTCCATGAAGAATGAATCATCCAATAGAAAAATTTTTACAGGAAACGACTTTTTATTTGTCATTAGTTTTATTCTTGCAAACTTTTAACAATAAGCATCAATTCTAGTCATAAATCGCGTAAATGGAAATAAGTCAAGAATTAGTAACAATAATTATGCCAGCAAACATAATGTCATTTAGTGTGAACATTTTTTCCAAACGTTTCATGAAATCGATCATTAGAACTGAGTGGTTTACGATTATGAAACATTGTGGTGGTGGTGGTGTTTGGTTCTCTGAGCTGGATGTTTTGGTTGTGGAGCTTTCATTGGTCTTCTGAACAACATCATCAGCACAAACTTCAGATAGAAGTGAAGCATTCGAATTTCTCCACGTTTGTATTGATGGATTAATGACAAACAACTTCATGAGACCTAATTATAAACTCGTAGTTGTAACAAATCATTGCAAGAAACAATATTATCTTCCAAACACATCCAAATGCACATGTATGCAAATTAAGGACACACAAATCAGTTTATCACTTATACAATGAAACTAAAGTACCACTAAATAGTTAAGATAAATAGAAGAGTAGATTGTTTCTGAAAAATGTACGATACGTTGTAGTTGCAGGCATAAAAATAAACATTTCAACAGTTCCGTGCTCAATGCGTCATTTATACCTACTTGTTTTACTAATGTATCGATTCAAATGTGCACAGTGTCTATCATCCCCAACTATATGCAAAGTATTCACGCATTATTCTAAATATTGTTTGACGATTCTCCCACTTACGATGATTTGTTACAATAAACCATTTTTTTGTTTATACACAGGTGGGACTATAGTTTATGCATAAACTTGGAACAATTTTAAAGTGATCATCAATTAGGTCTAATACAAAATTATGATGAGCTAGAATGACGAGTTAAGATTTAGAGTATGATTAATTCTCATTCCATAATTCTTTACAGCCATATAGATGAATGAATTTCGCGCAAACGATCAAAACGTGCAATTTCATTTATGGCTGGTTCGTCTATAAATGATCATCTGATCGATAGATCTTTTTAACCGAAATGTCATTGCATGTATTATTGATTTATTTATCAATTTATTTACTGACTTAATTTGTTCTCATCTCTCTTTTTTCTTTTCCAGGATTCCGAACTTCAAACTGCTAGTGCTGGTTGTATCAATAACATCAGGAGATTAGCTTTAACAAATGAAAAAGTTAATTTAACAAAATTATATGAAAAAAGTAAATTTAATGTAGTTAAAAATGTAACTGTTAAAAAGCCATTGAAAAATAAATCAAGTCGTCAGCATCGAACACCTGAAGAACAAGACAAAGAAGAACTACAACAAAATCATTCAATTGAAGAATCCGATTTAAATGCAAAATTCAATGTCAGTGAAGGTCATACTACTAATTCCGATGATACAGCAGTTCGTGCAACATTATCGGATAGTACAGAAGCACCTTATAGTAAAGCGCGCAATTCCCTAGAAGCAACACCGAACCTTGTAATTGATTCAAAAATTCCATCACCGAAATAGGACAGAAAATTTTTTTCTAGATTTAGCCATCTTCAACTTATACGTCACTGTGTAATTAAACTGAGATTAAAATAGAACTAAATATTCACTTAAAGAAGTTTGTGGGGTATATATACAGATATATCCTTATATTCTGATTGATAGTCATAATTAATTATACACTGACTATCGCTTAATTTCAACAAAACTATACACGTATATGTAGATGATAACTTGAGAAACCAGTTCCTTTATGGAAAACCATGAATAAAAAATTATGAACTATTTATTTATCTTTGACTTTGTTGGTATAATAATAATTTCATTATCTAATCGATCATTGATAAAATATTTATTTGATGAAAGTAACGGGGTTACGTGTAATAATTGATGCTGTCACACTCCTGGTTGAAAATGCTGTGATTACTCAAAGAAATCTTCAGTAGTATGCATTAGTAATCGGAGAAAATATTTCTAGTTCATAAATTTACAGATAATTGATTGAATTTATGTAGTCAGGTGCATTCTTTTCATGGAAAGTTGTTTTACTAACTAATGTGAGAGTGAATATCTGTTTAACAAAGAGAACTGATGAAAGCCTTAATTCTGTCTGTTTTTGACATGGGAATAACGGACTGCTAGTTTTAACTGAAACGACTCTACTTCATGCTGAATAATACTGGTTGATCGTTTAAGTCTTACTAGAGTACCACGATATCTATCGGAGGTTTTTAGTACAAAAATTCATTCTAACAGCATACCATTCAAGTGTACCTATAAATAACAAACGGATGTCTTCACTGACATACTTTGCCTGGTAGCTGCATAAACAACAGTCTTTTAGTGACAAAAAATAAGTTCGGTAATTATAAAGTAGACACTTGTTGTGAGCAGTAATCTGTAGCGCATCTATTTGGTTTTATTTACTGCAATTACCCTGACTGGTGGATTATCTGACTTACTGTCTTGAAGCCGAAACAGAGGTGTTATATTCTTATGAGACTGTTCTCCTAGCCTTTCAGTTTATGTTCTAATCTACTTGGTGGGAGTTCTTTGTCCATAGTTATGAAAAAACTATATTATAAACTAATCGACTTGTTAATAATGTTGAAAATTAAATATACTGGTCCACCGAAAATGACATTAGTAAAAGTCATCATTTATTATTTTTGATGGTGTAACTGAAATGTCTAAAAGGATTTAAAAAATAACCTATTCAAAAAAGAGTATTTGTTGTGAAAAAATTTATTTTAAAACTATACAAAAAGAGTATCAGGCAGTATACACCCACTGTTGATTTTTCGCATCAAGATTGGATCATCCTATGACGTTTTGTTACACATAACTTATTCTTAGAATAAGTTGTAAGCTAATCGCAGGTTTATTAAGATCTCACTTATTTCTTTGGAATTTAGAAAATTCTCAATATCTCCAGTCTCTTGAAGTCGAATATCAGCTTCTATAAGTTATGATGAATCGTTTATGAATTTAGTCATAAATATTCTATTAATACGTAAAATCTGTACTTTACGTCCATACTTAAATTAAAATTGTATACTATCTCTTAACTTTGTCAAAAATAGTTTTCTCTAAATGGTTTAAATGGCGAACTTGAGTATTTACCTTCAGACAATAATTTTATTCAATCTATAACGGACAGATGAGTTTTTTGCTAGTTTCCTACGAAGTGTGGTCGTTAACCACATGCCCAACCCTCCTCATTTATCCAGGCTTGGGACAGTCAGTAACTGCACAAGCGCTCTTGGCGGAGTTAACTACGAACAGATAATATCAGAAAATTTCTTCTCTAATATAAACATCAAATAATAATAAATGAACTTTAAAGATTTTATAACACTTGTTGATATCTTTCAATAAATATTAAAAGACAAAATGTGAAATCTGAAAACGATTTTTATTTATAAACTGAAAATATGTCTAAGGAAATATCGACATTTCTTGATTGAGTTGAAGAAAAAGTGAATCATGATTTGATTAAAAATCTACGTAACGAAATGTGTTTTTATGTCTTTCCAATGAAGAGACAGTGAAAATGTAGATTATTATGGTTCATTGAATCGTTGATAGTTGAACTGAGTCACGTCAATAGAGGTACATTACTTTATTGTTATCCTCGGCGATCATCGTGACCAGTGATTGAAGACTTTAAATGATACTAACTGAAATTGATCCTAATAGCGTAGACATATTTATTCTTTGTCTTTCACAAAAATCTATTTTTTCTAACCAGTTTATATTTTCCTGAATTGTATCTTTGTTGCTTTATCTTTCTAATAACCAATTATACTGTTACTACTTTCACAAATTTAAGATTCCCTCTAACAATCTCATCTGGTTTTGATTGTGGGGTTTGGCAACCTAAGTGATATATATGCATACCAAGTTGTACAATACGACTTCTGGCTATCCGACATCGTTGTGAAAGTATTAAAATGCTATGAAATTTGTAGTTTCACTGAAATCATGAACAGATCAATGCTAGACCACCATAAGAAACCTGAAAGTACGGATGCCCGTTTCTTCTTAGCATGAGACTACTTAGCAGTGCGCATCCTCAATCATGCAAACGGAAAGTGAACCCAGGATCATCAGTCTCGTGAGCGAACGCCTAAACTCTCGATAACTGACTGGCGTCCAACAGTGTCCGTGTCTAACTTCGATCAATCGATGCTATTGTTCGACTTCATTTATTGTCTTCAGTTATTAAATAATACCTTACATCTGACACACTTGAACTCCACTAGTCACAGCTTCTCGATGTTTCTGCGTTTCCAGTAGCGGTCTAGAGTTTGTCGATTCGTGATTTCAATGAAACTTAAAAATCTTAACAAACTCATACTAAAAGTTTCGGTTTATTGAGACCATCCCAGTAATAGATAAGAGCAAAACTATTTGTTGTAATACAGTGAAATTATTTAATAAATCTTATATTGTAGATAAATAATACACTATTGATTGGTTTGGTCCGTTAAAATTATGAAACAGTTATTGATAATCTAAATTATTCCAAACTTTTCAACAACAAAAAAACTGAGTCACCAAGGTGTGTCGTCCAATCTGCCTGAATAAGTTGAAATTTATGAATAAATCAAGCAGAAATTTTTTAACAAATTAATAGTTGACTCATTTATACCAAAAAGGATTCGAAACTAAGTGTCACTAGATTTAATCGAAAAAAAGGCATTTATTAAAATTTCATACCAGAACTACGGCAATACCCTTTATAACTTATCTTGACAGTTGAAATAGTGATTTATATATTACTATCTTCATAGTTTTTAAAAATAGTAAAAGTCTACCAAATGTACGTATTACGAAATCATTTAATCATTTTGGTTAAACAACAGTTTAGTTTCACAAAGTAAAGAAAAGTGACACAGTTTATCGTCATCTTGATGACGGGGTCGTTCCTAGAAGCGTTTCGTATGTCTGTTGCAGACATCGGCAATTCGCGAATTGCGGTTGTCAGATAACATTCCGCCTGGTCTTCTGCTGACAGAGATGCGATTACCATGATTTTCTCAGCCACCACTTGGTCATTATGGAGTCGCGATAAATAATCTGCCTGACCGAATTGTAGAGTGCATCGGTATTGGATTTCTAAATCATACCTCAAAAGTACCAGGACCCATCGCTGGAGACGATTTGCAGAATGGGCTGGAATTTCAGATTTTGAACCAAATATTGCTAGCAGGGGCTTGTGATCTGTGAGCAGCGTGAATCTCCGACCATGCAGAAACTTGTGGAAACAACAGCAAACCTAAGGGCTGAGCGCCTTTTTCTATCTGGCTTTATTTCTTTTCTGCTGGGGTTAGTTTACAGCATGCATGCATAATGTCTTTTTCTGATGCGTCTGGAAACTGATGTGAAATAACAGCACCTAGGCCATATGCTGAAGCATCTGCTGCTACGATGATTGGCATGAATGGATCGTGGTGTGTTAATAAAAATTCCGAGCTAATTATGGACCTGAGTTTACCAAAAGTCACGTCCCACCCTCTAGTCCAGTTCCATGCGCTATGTTTGTGCAGTAGACAATTCAGTGGAACGCGAATATCATGAATCGAGGGAAAAAACACTGAATAATAACCGATTAATCCGAGACAAGATGGTAATTCTGAGACATTAGTGGGAGTTGGCATCAGTTTGATAGCTCGGATGTTCTCAGGATCCGGTCTGAGGCCGTCGGCATCAAAGATGAATCCCAAACACTTCACAGAGTGCAATAAAGACTGACATTTCTCTTGGCGTAAGATAGATGGGGCAGTCTTAACTCCAACAGGTAGACGGTTGTACTGGAACAAACCACGATGGGTATTGATAGTAAGCAGCTCTTTAGATGCTTCATCTACTTCCACTTGCGAAAGGTATCAGCTAGATCGAGCTTTGCGTAAAACGTTACCCCATTCAGCATAGTAAACAGATCTGCGGGGACTGGTAGGGGATAATGATGCTGTTCCAGAGCTGCATTGAGACCTGTAGAAATGTCAGCACATATACGTGTCATTCCGTTGACCATCTTAATAACAACTGTAGGTGCTTCCCAAGCAGAGTAAGAAACGGGTGTAATAACTCCTTGTTGGGGAAGGCCATTAAATTCTTCATCTACTGTTGTTAATGTTGCATAAGGTACGGGTTTCTGTGGACGGAAAGCAGGCTTAGCCCCAGGTTTCAACCGAAGTGTTGCATTCACGGCAGTACAACGACCTAATCCAGGTAGGAAGATGGTTAAAAACTGCGTCATTAGCTTCTTCGTATATGCTTCGGGGTCATGTGGTCGTGATACTAGGTGGCATATGGTTTTTAACGGGACATCCGCCAATTTTTGCTGGTCAAACCAATCTGAACCAAGTAAATTTAGGTGAGCTGGCGTTAAATAACATACCCCAGTAAATGACGAATCTTGGAACGTAACTGCACATTCCAGTTGTCCTAACAGACTAAAGTAATTTCCATATGCATTACGAGGCTTTCGTGTTATCTGCTGCAGGCTTGGGCTGCATATTTTGGTCCAATTTTTACGTGAGAGGATGGTGATATCAGATGCGGTATCTATTTTTAATCTAAACGGATGCCCATTAATATTAAGGGTAATGAGTTTCCTCTCACCTGGTGATGAGCTTTGACAAGAAGATATTATGATCAAAGAA